GGGTCACCAGAGAGAGCCAATTATCATAAAGTTGTTTTCTAATGGCCTCAGAAAAATCATCACATTGCAGCTACTGCAGTTTACTGTGCTATGAGGTTTGTTTGGAAGCTATTTTGTTTGTTTTTGTGACAAAGTCTTGCTTTGACTCCCAGGCTGGAGTGCAGTGACATGATCTCAGCTCACTGCAACCTCCGCCTCCCAGGTCTGTGCTATTCTCCTGCCTCAGCTTCCTGAGTAGCTGGGATTACAGGTGCCTGCCACCAGGCCCAGCTAATTTTTGTATTTTTAATAGAGACGGGATTTCAACTCCCAACCCCAAGTGATCTGCCCGCCTCAGCTTCTCAGAGTGCTGGGGTTACAGGTGTGAGCCACTGCACTTGGCCTGCTTGGGAGCTTTTTAAGTTATGTTTTTATTTTTTTAATTTGCATAAAATACTTATACCATAAAATGTACAAACTTGACCATTTTTAAGTGTATAATAGTATTAAGTACGTTCACATTGTGTACAAATCATCTCCAGAACTCATTTCAGGTTGCAAAACTAAAACTCCATACCCATTAAATGGTAAGTTTCCATTCCCCTCTCCTCCCACATCTGGCACCCACCATTCGACTTCTGTAAATCTGACTGCTCCAGCAGCTCCTATGGGTGGAGTTACACAGTTTTGACCTTTTTTGACTGGTTTATTTCATTAGCATAATGTTTTCATGGTTCCTTCATGCTGTAGCATGTGTCAGAATTTACTGTATGGATAAATCGCGTTTTGTTTAGCCATTTATCTGTTGACGGACACTTAGGTTGTATCCACCTCTTAGACTTTCTGATTAATGCTGCCTTGAACATAGGTATACAAATATTTCTTTGAGTCTTTGTCTTCAGTTATTTGGGGCATATTCCCCAGAATCAGACTTTCTGGATCATAGAGTAATTTCATGTTTAATTTTTTGAGGAACTACATACTGTTTTCCATAATGGCTGTACCATTTGACATTTCCACCGATAGGGCACAAGGGTTCCTGTTTCTCCTCATCCTTACCAACATGAGTTTTTGTTTGTTTGTTTGTTTGTTTGTTTGTTTAATAGTAGCCATCCTAATGGGTGATGCATGCTATGGTTTTTCTTAATCCCATTTTTGCAAATGTTGTCCATAATTTGTGCTCTTCAAATCATCATTCATTGATCATAGCTCCATTCACTTCCCAGCATCCCAAAACAAGAGCATGAACTGTCCTTTCAAAAGTCTGACCATGGCTGCACCCAGCATTCCCTAAGGGCCCAACACCATGCAGAGAAATGTGCTGGATGAAGCTGGAACTGGAATCAGGGATTAGGGGCAGCCCCAGACCTGGCCCTCCACAGGTCTGTGACTAGGAGCAAGTCACAGACCGGGGCCTGTTCTCCGTGCCTCAAAACAGGAACAATACCAATGCCTTAACTCCCTTACAAAGTGGGAGCCCTGGAGATAAAAAGGCTTGTGGAAATTCTACAGCGAGAGCAAAACTTCTGTGTTTGTCAGGATTTTAAAAAGCCAAAAGAGAAAAGGGGAGGGTCCCTGGTTCTTAGTAATGCACGTAGGCGATTTCGGAGCTCAAATTCATGGAAACCAATTGAATTACGGAGGAGGCAGCTCTGCCATTTGCAACCACGGATTGTTTGAAATCCTTTTAGAGGAAAATTAAAATATTTCACAGAGGGTAATAAAATGCTGAGTGTTTTGCAGGCATGACTGCTCAGCTCTCTTGGGCAAATAAGTAATTAGGCATTTTTATTTAAGTCCTCAGTGTCGTCATTTTCTTTCATTAGTAGAGGGAGAAAAAGCTATTATGGAAAATACATAAACTCTGGAAATCAACAGAAAATTATAAAACTGCAAATATATATATATATATATATATATATATATATATATAGAGAGAGAGAGAGAGAGAGAGAGAGAGAGAGGGAGGGAGAGAGAGAGAGAGCGCACACAATAACAGCATACTGCAGAAAGGGAAGATGTTAGAACTTATTTTCCCAAACTTCGAACATGGGAAGCTGTGTCAAATATTCTCTGCTTCTAAATAAAAACCTATCAAAGAGCTTGGGAGTGGGGCTTCTTCCAAGGCACAGGATGCCTTCGCTCAGTATGGCCATGGGAGCTGGGGAGGTGCTGTGAGCCTCGCTCCCTATCCACGGCCCCATACCATCCACTGAGGGACCTGCAGTTCCTCCTCACTCTACCCTTCTTCACCACGTCCACTTTAAGGAAAGGGTTGATATTTCTCTGAGCCAGAAATCATGTGCTCCAGCCTCTCCTTTTTACAGATGAGGACCTGGTTTAGGTTCAAAGGCTCTTTTTTTCCTGTGCATCCCCAGGTCTCAGGGCCACTGCATGTCGATGCCTGTATCCCCCCACGTGAATCGGTCTGCTTCTTGGCCCAAGCCCTAGCTGCAGAAGAGGGGAGAACAGGCCAGGGATATGTCCGGTTACTGACAGAGGGTCCGCCCTGTCCCTCCACAACTAGTCCGTGCTGTTGTCTTCTTGAGTTCACCTTCTTCCTGTGTGGGCTTCTCTTTTGGGTGATATGAGAGAGACTGATGACAGGATGCAGAGAGCTCCTTGTCAGAGGTTCGTCTGGTACTTCAGGGTGACACAGGCATGTTCATAGCTATTTCTTCTTTAGAATCTCTTTAGAGTTTGGGTTTATCTCTGATTTCTTTCACCACCCCTGAAGCCACCTCCACCTGTGTCACCCATATGAATTTTCTTTAAGTGGCATGAGTGGGTGTGTGTACATTGGGGTATGGGGGCTGCACATGGGAGGCGCCTACAAAAATCTGCATTTCCACAGCCTCCTGTGAATCCCACATCAGTGCCCATATGGAGGCATCTCATCTTTACCATTAACCATTAACCTTTGTCTTCCACACCACTCTGGTCTGCATTGAGCCATCTAGCAAATGGTTAATAAGCACCTGCCATGTGCTGGGCTTCCCACCAACCCTGAGAACCCAGAGAGGAATAGAATGCAGAGGAAGACAACAGACACACGAGGCAGTTTTCAAAAACAGGGAGATATTTTGAGCTGGTCCTTAAAAGATAAGAGGGGGTTTGCCTGGCAGGGAAGGGAGAGGGACCCACCTGGGAGGAGCAGCAGAGGCAAAGGCACAGAGGCATGAAAACAGCCCATGGTTGGGCCGCCGTGTGAGGAAGTGACAGGTGCTGGGGAGAGGCAGGTGGTGCTCTGGGAGTCTCCAGGGCAGGAGCTAATGGTGTTACACAGCCCTGCAGTGGGCACAGGGCCAGCATGAAGCAGGTGCCAAAGAGTATGTGTCTAATGTGTGAGGGGGAGAAGGAAATGAGGGAGGGACTCAGGGAAGGGATAAGTCGTTGCAGTGTGTTCATATCATGGCATCTGTAGAGCAGTTAAAGAGGAACACACTAGGCCATAAAGATGAACGAATCTCAAAAACAGAATGGTACAGCCGGGCACAGCTATGGTCAGGTGCAACGGTTCACACCTGTAATCCCAGTACTTTGGGAGGCCAAGGCAGGTGGATTAGTTGAGGTCAGGGATTTGAGACCTGCCTGGCCAATGTGGTGAAACCCCATCTCTACTAAAAATACAAAAATTAGCCAAGCGTGATGACACATACTTGTAATTCCAAACTCGGGAGGCCAAGGTGGGAGAATCACTTGAACCCAGGAGGAAGAGGTTGCAGTGAGCCAAGATTGCACCACTGCACTCCAGCCTGTGCAACAGAGTGAAACTCCACCTCAAAATAAAAAAGACACACACACAATGTTACATGAGAAAAGCAGGTTACAGAAAAGTGTGTACAGTCTCCTGACAGGAAGTGTGCCACATGCAGAACAGCACCACACAGCCACACAGACTCTCATTAGGTTAAACTGCATGAACTTGCCTATGTTTGACCATTTTTGACATTCAAAAATAACAGTTTTCATTGGTTCAACCTGATTGAAATCACAAGGGACAGTCTGTTCGTCCCATGGAATACCACTCAGCAATCAAAAGGAACAGATTATCAGCACATGCAGCAACTTGCCTGGATCTCAAGGGGATTCTGCTGAGCAAAGCAGCCAAGCTCTGAAAGTTACAGACTGTATTATTCCATGTATATAATAGGCTGGAAATGACAAAAGTGTGAAAACAGGGAAGAGATAAGTGGCTCCCATGGCCAGAGAGTGGCGAAAGAGAGAGGTGACCATCACTTTAAAAACAGGGCAGTACAAAGACACTTGTGATAAACTCTCCCGAATCTTAACAATGGTGGTGGCCACATTAACCCACATGTGGTGCCATTGCATAGGAAATACACATGGGCACACACACACACACACACACACACAAGCGCGTGTAAAGCTGGTGAAATCTCAACAAGGTCAGCTTCCATGTGTCAGCATCCCAATCTCAGCTGTGGTACTTGTATTAATACTAAGGTGATAACATTGGGGGAAACTGGATGAAGGGGGTACAGCACCTCTGTGTATTGTCTCTTATTGCATGCAAATTATAATTATCTCAAAATTAACAGTTAAATACACACGCAGTAATGATTAATGTCAAATTTAAGACAGAAGTTGTTTCTGGGACAAGGTATGAATTATGCATATGGGGAGAGGTTTGCAGAGGGGATTCAACTTTATCTGTAATGTTCTACTTAGAAAAATCTGAGGCAGGTATGGCATAATGTTAAGATGCTACAAAGCTGGATGGTAGGCACATAACTGTTACAACATTCTCTTTTTTATGTTTGAAATTTTTAATTCATATTTTTTTAAAAAGCTAATCTTGCTTCACTCCTTTCATCTGGAGCCAGGACTGGACCTGGGATGCAGAGCCCTGAGGTAGCAGGGGATGGGCCAAGGACTCCCTCAGGGTTCAGCCCGCAGAGACCACCTGGTGGCAATCCAGAGCCTCAGTGGCAGCCAGGGCAGGAGCTCCCCTGCCACAGGCTCCACCAGGTCCCAGCCACTCATGTCTCTCTCCCCAGCCCCCGGAGAAGGAGGGTGCCCTGCCTCGGCAGGTGGGCAACAAGACGGAGTGTGGCCTGCTGGGCTTTGTGCTGGACCTGAAGCAGGACTATGAGCCCGTGCGCAGCCAGATGCCAGAGGAGAAGCTGTACAAAGTGTACACCTTCAACTCCGTGCGCAAGTCCATGAGCACCGTCATCAAGCTGCCCGACGAGAGCTTCCGCATGTACAGCAAGGGGGCTTCTGAGATCGTGCTCAAGAAGTAAGCACTGGCAGGGTGCTGGGCTGAGGGCTGTGCCCTGGTGCAGGGCACTGGGGATGTCAGGGTCATACAGCATGGCTGCTACCCAGGCCAGGCCCAGCAGCCTCCCCGGCTGGAATGGCCGTCTAGCACCCAGAGCCACAGAGGGCCCTGCCCAAGGTCATCCAGCAAGACTCACCTTCACTTTTATGCCCCTTGCCCGCTGTGTTTTCCATTATATCCTCTTAAACATTTCTATAGCCAGAGTCCTCCCCCTCCTCCTCCCTAAGCCACTGGTTCGTCAGGAATTTCTACCCATTATCACACTTAGATCTCTCTTATTTCGCTTTCTTTAGCATAGAGTTGGTTGATGGTCGCTATTTTCATTATTAACCACACTCCTCTGACTCCAGAAAAGTGCTGGAAATAAGCTTAGTGAACTAAACAAATCCCTTCTCCTCTCTGGCCTCAGTTTCCCCACTTGCACACTGAGGAGATTGATGTAGCCCCCAGTGGTTCTTAACCCTAGCTACACATTGGAATCACTCCAAGGAGTGTTTTAAAAAAAATTGATTCACCCCAGACAAATTGAACTGGAACCTCTGGGGCAAGGCTGATGCATGGATATTTATTAAAGGCTCCCCCAAGCAATTCTAATGTGCAGGCAGTGTCAAGAACTTCTAGCCTGGGTTTTAAGTGCTTTGTAAACCATTTCGGCTGTGGAAATGCTATTTCAGATGAATCTTGTGAACATATAACACATCAAAGTGGGGCTGCACTTGCTGAGTGGCCTGGGCAGAAATTGTAGGAAGGATGCCTGATTTCACCCAGCCTGGGGGATGGACTGAATGGGCACTGGATGACCAGCCACAGCCAGCTGGCCATCACTAGGGTTCGAGCCATTCAGAAGGAGCATTCCCTGAGCTCCCCATCTCCCTTCCATCTTCCCCTAGGTGCTGCAAAATCCTCAGCGGGGCGGGAGAGCCCCGTGTCTTCCGGCCCCGCGACCGGGACGAGATGGTAAAGAAGGTGATTGAGCCCATGGCTTGCGACGGGCTCCGCACTATCTGCGTGGCCTACCGCGACTTCCCCAGCAGCCCCGAGCCGGACTGGGACAACGAGAATGACATCCTCAATGACCTCACCTGCATCTGCGTGGTGGGCATCGAGGACCCCGTGCGGCCAGAGGTAGGCCCCAGGGCCAGGCAGCTCAGGGGAAGGAGGCCAGCCCCCTGGGTGACCTGGAATAAGTCACTTCACCTCTCTGAGTCTCAGTTTCCACACAGTGCCCATGGGGATCTCCTTTTGCGATCCTCATAAGAGGATCGCCCATGAGAAACAGTGGAGACCACACATGGCATGGGTCAGCCCAGAAGGACACAGAACCCACAGGCTGCCAGCAGGCATTGCTCTGTCATGGGGGCAGTCCTCAAGCTGTCCACCCAGCCACCACAAGCTCTTCCCTCTGGTCCCCCAAGGGACAGGTGTAGGGACTGCCCTGCCTTAGAAACCTCTTGCCCTGCAAGAGCCAGGATCTCTTGTAACAAATCTACAAGCCTGGATTCCAGGGTCCCTGCAAAGGACACACCCAATAGCAAAGGTCATTGCTCTCAGGAGAACCTGAAATATGGTGTCCCTGTCAGTATGTATAGTTCTCCCAATGTAGATGCAGTTTACCAACCAGTTTGCCCTAGCAAGCTGGCCTAGGAACACAGCTGAGTCTACCTTTATTGGGTTTCCAGGAGAACAGAGCTAGAAAGTGAACTGAAGGTCACATCCTCAAGCAGAAGGGAAGGGGGCTGACAGCACCCAATTCGCAAGGATCAAGGGAGGTGATGCCCATCAGTACACCTAGTGGGGTGCTCAGCACACAGTAGGTCTTCAGTCTCCTTTAGCTGAAACTGCATCTGGGTGGGAAAGGCCAAGAGCTCAGTGCTGGACCTTCCAGGGTCAGGGGAGGATGGGATGTGTATGGTCTGTGGGGCTGCCCAGGCTGAAGAGAGGCTGTGGGGAGCAGAGAAAGCCATCCTGAATCTCCAAAACACTGCATGGGCGGGCAGTGAGTCAGCTCACACTGCCAGACCCCAGGGGAGCACCCAGGGCATGAGGCAGGGTGCGGGAGGAGCTAGCTTCCACTTCCTCCCAGGACTCACTCAGCTGCTGGGTCCAGACCGGATGCCCTGGCCAGGCCTGGCTGGGTCCGGATTGGCCTTAGCTGTAAGATTTGGTGCTGATGCTTTGCAGGCCCACCTCCTCTACTCCTTGGTGGACCTACCCTGACACTGTTGTTTGGGGGTCTCTGGCCATTCCCTACTCCTCTCTGAACCTCAGTATCCCTTTCTTTATGGTAAAAGGGATAGACAAGATGCCCTCCAAGTTGCTGGCCCTGATGTTGTAAAATTCTGCTTTCCAAAGAAAAATGAAACCAGGTTCCAGGCATGGACTTTAACATTTTAGGCAGCAGGGAGCAGGGTCAAAGTGTGAGCTCAGACATCAAACAGATCTGTGATCCTGAGTGACCACATACCTTGCTGTGTGACGTTGGACCAGTTACATAACTTCTCTGAGCCTCATCTACATACTGGGAATAATAATAGTATCACACACACCCACTCCGGGATATTATGAAGGCTCAGATTATGCATCTAAAGCAACAAGCAGAGCATCTGGCACCAGATAAGTGGCCCACATACGTGGGTCTCCTTCCTTCATCCCCTCTCCAGTCGATTTTGTTACCCTAGATCCAGGAACACGTAACAGCCCTTGACACACAGCCCAGCCTACCAAAGGTGTTCCATGAGCATTTGTGGAATAAATGAATGAGAATGAATGGGACTGGAACCCCAATCTTCCACACGTGTCTAATGCTCCTATCCACCTCCCCCCCTCCACACACACACACACACACACACATACACACACACACACACCCTCCTGTGGGGGTGTCATTGTGGCCTCTACACTCCTGTCAAGATCCTAAAACAGCAAAGACAATTAATGCCCCTGGAGCTTGGCAGTGAAGCCCATACGTGCTTTCCTGCAAACCTCTTTCTCCATGCACAGACAGGCCGTTTATCAGCCTCCCTGTGGGACGCCCACTCATTACCAGATGTTAATGGGTTCAGGCCTTGCTGTGATGTGTTATCTCCTTACTGGAAACTCTTCATCCTTGTGCAGCACTCGAGGCTGGCCTGCCCACACCCTGTGGCTCCCCTGTCCTTCCCAACCCCAAAGTCTCCCCCCCACCCCTCCCAGTGCTCCTGGCTCACCACCCTGCCTTGGAAGCATCCCTTAGGTGAATGGAAGACAGCAGCAAACACAAACTCTTATTTGACCACAACCCACAATAAGAAATGTATTTTATGTCACGACTCAGTGAACACACACAGTTAACCAAAACAAGAGTTTCACAAAATAATAGGATGCACTTAACTATTTTCTCTTCTTCTGTTTCTTTCTTTTTAAAATGTTGGTCACCACCCACTAAAATTTCATGTCACTAACAGGGCATGACTTGAGGTTTGAGTGGCCGATCTAGTCCAAACACCTTCCCCGACAAACCCCGATTTGCAGAAGAAAACACTGAGGCAAAGGGGGACAGTGATGTGCCCAAAGTGACTGGGGAACCCAGGTCAGAACAGGTTTTCTGCCTCCCCGCCTCAGGGCCTTTGCCTGGTTTCAAAAAAAAGGAAAGGACAAGTAGTTCTAAGTCAAAAGGATAAGCAGATGAGGACAAGGATGAGAGCTCCCCATGCCCAGGGCCTGAGGGGGCAGAGCTGGGTCCCTGGCATTTTCTCTTGACAGCATGGTCATCCAGAGAAGTTGGCCGCAGACACAGACTCTGGGAAAGGGGGACCTGGAACCAACCTCCAACCCCCAACTTGGCTGCTAACAAGCCACTTCCCTCTGTAAGCCTCAGTGTTCTCATCTGTGAAATGGTAGGTCAGCCCAGGTGCCCCTTGGGTCCCTCCCAAGCTCTGACATCCCCAGAGAGAGAGCTAGTTGACTGGAAGACTTAACCTCACATCTTCCTCCACTTCTTCAGTCAGGGCGTCTGTGTGGTCCACCCTCTCTCCTGTTGGCTCATCCCTGGGATGTCTACATGGGAGTCATAAACCGTTTCACAGCAGTCACTTACTCAAGCGATGCAGCAGACTCCAGGGACATGGGTTCTAATTCTGCTCCTGCCACTCCCTCACAGATGGTCTCAGTTTCCCTGCCTGAAAACTGAGAGAATCAGACTGTCCAGCATTCACAGTGAGGGGCACAGCAGGGTTGCAGGTGACACCACTTGCCAGCATAAAAGCTCAGACCTGCTGATCATCATCTCTGCGTGGGGTGGGAGGGATCAGGACCCAAGGAGGCGTGTGGATAAGGTTTTGTTTATTTGTCGGTTTTTTAGGTAGGTCATTCCTGCCCCCTCTAGCTCCCTGGTTCCCATCTCAGAGGCAGCCACTATCCCCATTTTGGGGGGCAACCTTCAAGGAACATGTGTGCCTATGGTGGCTGTGTTTTATGTCAAGCTCTCCTGGGCTCTGTCCTCCTGGACTCAACCCTTTCTACAGAATTCTTTGTTACCCTCCATAAATCTCATAAATGAACTTCCTGCCTGGTGCCTCCAGCGTAGGAGGCTAAGCCAGAGGGTAAATGTCAGCCCAGACCATCTCTAGGGTCCTACAGACACACTAAGATTCATTTTGCAACTGCAAGAAACCAATCTCTACCTCCCTTGCTTTCCCTTACTGTCAAGGGGTTGAATCTCCACGTTGCCTCCCTCCCAGGAGAAGACCAAAGGCTAGAGCAGATTAAACGCCCTTGCCAAAACACCCCACTGTCGGCCCTTACAGCGGGTACATTTTCCAAGGCCGATTGAAGCCAGTGCCAATAAAGCCATCAGGAGAGCAGCGGTCTGGGATCTGCCAGGTTATCCGGGGGTGTTTGAAGCCCTCGGAGTTACCGACAACGGCTGTCACCAGAAACAACAGATGTTTAAAAGCCTTTATTTAATGAAAACAGGAAGTGCCTATTTCCTGGCTGCTTTTCCTCAGTGAGAAATATCTAGAATAATTTTAGGGAAAGAAGTCATTTTTTCCCCAAACTTATTTATTTTTTATTTCACAGCAATTTTATTGATGTGGGAAGCATATTTCAACCAGATTGATGCCTCTGGGGGTTGAGTCTTAATCATCTCTGGATCCTCAGCATCCAGAGCAGTTAGATGCTCCAGAGCTGTTTGTCCAATTAGTGAATGAGTGAGCCACAAAATTAAGTCCTGAGAGCAGCTTAAGGAAACATTCCATTGGGTTGCAAGAGTCAGGAATGGCTTCACGAATAGACAGCATTTCACTTATGTGATGGGAAGACTTGACACATAAAGGCTAAGGGAGGGAGGGCATTCCAGGCCTCAGAAGGGACAGCATGGGCAGGGCAAGAAGGTGGGAAGGGATGCAGAGGGGCTACGGCCTCGAAAATGCCCTGTTGCATTTATGAGAGGAAGGGAGCTTGAAAAAGGCATGCATGTGCCCGTCCTGTGCTTGGGCTGTTTGTGCCATCATAGAGCTCCCCCCAGCCTTGCTGAAGGGTTGGATACTATTGTACCCGTTTTACAGATGAGGAAACCGGGCTCATGTGAGACCCTAGAGCAGAGCCCAGCCCAGCCTTGTGGTCCCAAGCCCTCTCCCCACTGCACAGAGGAAAGTATAGGGTCTGCAAAAATTAGCCTCCTTTTTCTCATGAAGCCAGCTTGCTTAGAGAGGGCCAGAAGATGGCTGATTTGGGCTCCAGGAGACAGTCGCGAAAGCGAGTCTTTCTACAATGCAGCCCCAATCACCTCATTCCTGGCTCAGAGCTTCCCACAGTTCCCAGTGCCTGAAGGAGCACATCCCTGATCCAGCACCTTCTGCCCCTCTCCAACTTCATGGTCTCCAGTCCCTACCCCACATCCTCCCTCAGCCTCAGCCCCTCCAGATCACCTGCAGCACGGCCCTCAGGCCCATTCACACCTCAGGCCTTCTCTGCCAGTGCAGAGTGGACAGTTCTCTGTGGCCAGGGCTAATCTGTGTTCATCTGTGTAGCCTGAGCCCCCTGGCACAATACCAGGAACCGGAGCCTCAGTTGGCAGCTCAAACATCGCCTCCTCCGGGAAGCCATCCTTGATTTCTCCTCCCCACCCACTTTCTTCTAAAGTAATAGCACTCTCTGTGCTCACTTCAGTAGCACATACGCTCAGTAGTACCAAAACCCCCTTCTGTGTTCCCACAGCCTTTTGTATAGGACTGTACCAAAGGCCCTGCCTCCAAACAGAGTACAGGTCTGATTCAGGGTAATGCTCTGTTATCTGAAAAAAATAAAGGTTATGTAAAAGAATCAGCTAGACTTGTTCCACAGTGGAGCAGTGAGCATTAAAGGGAGGGAGTGCCCTGTCATCAGGGGTGTGCAAGCAGAGGCTGACCAGCCCATCTATTGAGGACACCTGGGAACAGATCTAGGCAATGAGCAGAGGGTCAGAGTCAATGATCCAAAGTCTTCCAACTCCAAGACCTCCAGCATCTTTGAAACCAACAGCCTAAATTCCTCCTTTTAGGAACAGGAGCCAGATAAGGTGTATGTTCCCAGGAAACAGCACCTCCTTCTATTCTTAGGGGCAGGAGACAGCAGGGCCCACAGCCCAGGTTACAGCCACCATGAGTATATTAGTAAGGTATGTGAACAGGATCTTGGACACTCCACACCCCCACTCCCTCCAGCTCTGTAAAAATGAGGTCACATTTGCTTATGTGATTAGCTGCTGTGGCACGAGGCAGAGGCCTGGCTCACATGGCCAGCAAACCCTGAGTGGGCACCGGAAGGCTTCTCCCCAGGCCTTGGAATAAGCCCCAGAGGAGGCTGGTGGTCAGCTGACCCTGTTCTAACCCTTAAACAACAGGGAGATCACCACCTGTCACCACAGAGCCAGTCTCTTAGACAACTCCAGTAGCTAGAGAGGCCTCCTTACAGGGACCCTGCCCCTCCCCGACATCCATTCCTCATGCCACAAGACAGCCACGCTCAGAAGTACGGGTTTCCTCTTGAAGGCGTGAGGGTGGAACCCCTGAAAGAGAGCAGCCCCACAGGCTGACACTCAGGCAGGTCACTGGTGGCCAGGGTAGGGGAAGAGAGGCTAGGCCAGAGGCATGGTAGCCAGAGGCAGGGTGGGCAGTGATCCAGCATGAGACAACAGTGATGGCAGCTGCTGTGAATGGAGTGGATACAGGCCAGATATTCAAGGCCAATCCTTGTTCCTCCCATTGCTGAGGGCAGAAAGGCAGGCCCAGGCAGGAGCTGTGCCAATCAGGCTTGGCGCCCCTTCTCACTCTGTACTAGTTTTCTAGGGCTGCTGTAACAAAGTCACACAAATTGAGTGGCTCAAACAGCAGCAGTTCGTTGTCTCACAGTCCTGGAAGCTGGACATCTGTCCAAGACCAAGGTGTCAGCAGGCCTGGTTCTTTCTAACAGCGGTACGGAGGCACTGTCCGTGCCTCTCTCCCAGCTTCCAGTGGCTTACTGGCCGTCTTTGGCTTCGTTGGAGTGTAGAAGCAGCACCCGGATTTCTGCCTGGCGTCTCCTCTGTATATCTTCATGTCCAGATTTCCTCTTTATAAGGACACGAGTCCTGTTGGATTAGGGCTCACCCTGATGAGCTCATTTTAACCGGATTACCTCTATAATGACCCTATCTCCAAGCAAGGTCACATTCATAGGTACTGGAGCTTAGGGCTCCAGTCTGTGTTTTGGGAGGAATACAACTCAATCCATAGTTTTCCAACTCCCTTAGCCGTGGCTTGGTAGGTGGACGCTGGAATTCGCTCCTGGTCACTGTGGGGTGCGCAGGGAGGGAACATAGGACTGAGCGCTTCCAGGCTGGAGATTCTAATGTGCTGTGGTCTTTCCAAACAACTGGATTTTCTGTCCTTGACATGTTCTCTCGCACTGAAAGATGTTCTGCAGCAAATATTATTTTATTATTTGTCACTGCCCTAGGGTAAGAATCACTCATTCCATTGATTTCTGTTCTGTATAAAGGGCTGCTGCAGCTCCAGGCTGATTTCCACAGGGAAACCCTCAGCTCTGCTCAGGGCGAGCTGTGGTGGGGGGGGGGTGAGGCGGGGCAAGGGAGCCTTGTGGCTTCTGATTGGCTGGCTATGATCTAGCCTGATTGTCCCAGACATCCATCTGTCATTATAGTCAGAGAGGGCAGGATCTATCCTTATTATTGCAGAGAAATGGTATATTTTACATGAAGCATAATCCTTTATAAATATTCTAAAGTTGTGTCACATTCTGTAAGTAAAATGCCCCCAAATGCAAATGTCTCCCCAAGAAACTGAAAATACACAAATGGATTTGTCAAGTTTGCAGGAACTGTGTATGTGGATGAGGCAAGGACAAGGTCACATGCTTACCTGGGGCCAGATCCAAGGAGTCTTTCCAAAGTCTTCGCCCAGGTCAAGACAGCCAATGGTTCTGTCTCCAGGTTGACTATCATGGTCAATAGGTGGTGGCCACTGGGACTCTGGTGCGAACCACATCAGGATTTAATCAAAGGATGTGTGATCGATTAACAATGCCTGCCTGGGCATGGGAAGGGAGGCTGTGGCCCATGTGCCATGTGTGGCATCAGTATCTCATAGTCATCTAGTCCCCTTTCAGTAAAGCAGCCTGTGAGAAGGGCTCCTCTAGAATCCATGAAGACGGGTGGGGGGGACCTGCCTGAGGTGGTGCCCTCCCCCATGGCCCCTGCCCTCCTGCCCAGGTCCCAGAAGCCATCCGCAAGTGCCAGCGGGCAGGCATCACGGTCCGCATGGTCACTGGTGACAATATCAACACGGCTCGGGCCATCGCCATCAAGTGCGGCATCATCCATCCTGGGGAGGACTTTCTATGCCTCGAGGGCAAGGAGTTCAACAGGAGGATCCGAAACGAGAAGGGGGAGGTGCGTGTCCCAGTGTAGTGTCCTCAGGGGCGCGCGCTTAGATGGAGGCTGGGAGGCAGGGTGCTGCATGATTATACAGAAGCCAGCCGGTGTGCTGCTGAGAGCCCAGTAACTCTGGGCATGTCCCCTCCCTTCTCCAGGCCTCAGTTTCTCTCCCCGACCCCACCGACCTGCCCCCTTCCCCATCCCTCTCCAGATTGAGCAGGAGCGAATTGACAAGATCTGGCCAAAGCTGCGAGTGCTGGCTCGCTCCTCCCCCACGGACAAGCATACCCTGGTCAAAGGTAAGACTTGGGCGGGCATGGGCAATCCTGAAGCCCAGCAGCAGGCCAGAAGCTGGGCCCTCCTCTCCTGGCACTTGCTGCTTCTTCCCAGGAAGGAAGGGCCCCTCACCCTGGACTCTCCACATCTGGGCACAGCCTTATGTCACCCCCTTTTCAGCCCTGGGAGCCTGCAAGGGGTCAGAAGGAGATGGGACAGAGTCTTCTCTCTGGGCCTCCAACTCCCCTAGGAAGCAATGGACCTGGGTATGTGTGGGGTCCCAAGCTCACAACTCAGGGCGGAATGGGACTCACGCACCTGTTCTATGTGGCCAGTGCAGCGCCTTTTTCAATGATGAATTTGAAAGACTACGCAGATCTTGCTCTCTCACCTTTGACACAGTCCTTACTGCTGCTCGTCCGACACTCAGCCTACTTTGCTCGTTCTCAGTCTGGTCTCAGAGCTTATGAGTTTGAGTCTCTTAGTCTGCCTGGTCCCTGAGGCCCCCAACCAACATTTGTGACCAAGACCCCAGGGATGGGCTCTCCTGGGAATAGCCACCCAAGAGATGAGACCAAAGTGGAAGTCTTGCTCCTCCCTCCAGAGGGAGAGTGCACCTCTCACTGAGCCTAGCTGGCCAGGGGCTGGGGACTCTTTATTTTTTTTTTATTTGAGACAGGGTCTCCCTCTGTCACCCAGGCTAGAGTGCAGTGGTGCGATCACTGCTCACTGCAGCCTCAAACTCCTAGGCTCAAGCAATCCTCCTGCCTCAACCTCCCAAGTAGCTAGCACTACAGGTGTATGTCAACATGCCTGCTTTTTTTTAATTCTTTATAGAGACAGGTTATCAGTATATTGCCCAGGCTGGTCTCGAACTCCTGGCCTCAAGCAATCCTCCCGCCTTGGCCTCCCAAAGTGCTAGGATTACAGGCAGGAGCCACTATGCCCAGCCAAATGTGCATTTTTAGAGTCACACGATCCTGGCTTTGCCATTGACCTGCTCTGTGGCCTTGGGCAAATCCCATTCTAGGACTCAGTTTTCTCATTTGTAAAATAGCTATGGGAGCAGGTATCCACCAGAGATCAGCCCTAAAACATCCTGGATTCCTCTTTCAAAGGTGCTGCCCAACGACATTGATGGAAGCAGATCTGGCCTGGGGAGAGAAACCCAGAACCCCAGAGCCACAAGGGAGCAGAAGGCCCCCAATGCATCCCTCTTCCTTCACTCATTCTCTCCATAACCATTTACTGAGGCCCTGCTGGGTGCCAGCCCTGCTCAGGGCAGGCATGGTCCTAGGCCAGGTCGCATGCAGCAGGCGTTGAATAAGTGGTCCCTGCATAGAGCAAAAGGCTGCACTGCTGGCAGGGGGGCTCTGGGCCCGACACTGGCCTCTAACTCGGCCTATGGAGGCTTTAGGTCACAGGCCATGGAAGGTGGATGGGCTCCAGGGTTGGTGAGGCCTGGGCTTGGGGCAAGGCAGGGAACTGCTCTGCAAAGGGCTAGAGGCAGAAGATCCCTAGGTGCCTTCAAGGACCTGGGCCAGGACCTCGGGGCGGGAGACGGAAGCTACAGGAGACTGGAGAAGGTGCAGGGGTGGCAGATCCTGCAGGGACCCCCTCCCACGAGTACCTGCCATGGCCTGTACCCTGTCACCAGGCTCGGGAGCATGGGAGGGTTCCGAGGGTAGAAGCATCGCTTTAGAAAACTAACGCTGCAGTGCAGAGCATTTCCTGGCAGAGGAGGGACCAGCAGGATTGTCCCCTCAAGAGTTGTCACCTGCCCTCAGTGGCAACACCTCAAGTGGAGCTGCCAGATGTGGGTCTGGGAAAGTGTGGGTGGTACAGGGGTCTGGGCTGGGCGGGGGGTTTGGATGTCATGGTGGGATGAGGAGCAGGAGGATCTGGAACCCCATCAGTCTATACCTATTGGAGTAGATAGAGAGTTGGACATTGAGCCAGGAGGGAGAGCAGGCCTGAGACAGAGTCCTGGGTGGCACATGTGGGTTGGGAGAGAGGAGCTGCAGAACCCAAGAGCTGCCCGAGTGATGGTGGAGGTTGAGAACCTACCAGAGGAGACCAAGGGGAGGAGGCTAGAGGGGCGGGAGGACGGCCAGGAGGGAGTGGTGTGGGGAAGACAAGGAAGGAGACCTGTGGAGGAGGAAGGTGTGGCCCACAGTGAGAATCGCTGCTGAGAGGTCTGCGGGGACAGAACAGAAATGTGACCATAGGAGGCTGCCACAGGACAGCCCCTGGTGACTGCACACAGTCAGGCCACCCCAAGCCTGGAGGCAGGGAGGGGGTCTGGGGAGAGGTTTCCACCCAGCTTTCCGCACCACTCAGGCCATGCAAAGGTCCGTGCTGCCCGGGAGCCACAGGGCAGAAATTTGACCCCTCCCTGCCTTGGAGGAGCCCCCAGGCTGACTGAGGGAACCGTGGAGACTCAGGCCTAATGTGCCAAGTGGACAAGCTCAGAGAGGCTGAGTCCAGGATGGGGGAACTGTGGGCTTGATGCCAGCTGGGCGGGAGCAGCCCAGGACGATTCCCAGAACACATGGCACTGCAGCTGGGCCTGAAAGAGGGGAGAGCTGCAGGGAGCATGTGGGCCCCAAGTCGTGGAACTCAGCCCCTCATTCCAGCTGCCGATGTCTGCTAGGCACAGACCAGAGAGATGCACAAGGACGGAGCAGCACATAGAGTTACAGGGACCTGATTACCGGCGGGCGAGGGTCCTCAGAGGGTCAGAAAGGCTTCTTGGGAAAAGCAGCATCTGAGCCAAAAATACAGTACAGGTGGGTGACAGGAGCACCTCTGGCAGAGGGAGCAGCCTACGCAGAGACAGGGCCAGCGGGGGCCAGGAGGCACCAGCTCTGTGGGACTGCAAGCCCTGATCGGGGGTGGCCAGGGGATGAGAGAAGAGAAGAGGTCAGGGTGTGATTGAGGCCTGGTCACAGAGGACTTCATAAGTGGAGATGAGAACCTGGATATTATCCTGAAGCCAAGCAGAATGACGTTCCAGGGGAGGGGACTGGTTCAGATATGGGTGTTAGATCCTGGAGTTGCTGTGGGGAAGCAGGTTGGAGGGGAGCCCAGAGTCAGTGAGAGGAAACTCAGTGACGCTGGTGGCAGGGGATGGGGACGGAGAGAAAAGGAAGGGTTTCAGTGGGATTTTGGAGCCAGAATTGGCAGGTCTTGGTGATACATTTGATGTGCAGAATGAAAAAGAGACTCATGGAAGCTGACACTCAAATTCCTGACCTGCCCACTCACATCCCTGCTTGTGCACACCATGAATGAGGAGTCCCACAAACTCCACAGGTCCTCACCAATGACCTCCTTCACCCATCCTTTTCCACTGGCCCCAGCTCAGTGACTAAGGCACATGTCATCTATTCATTTTGTTCATTGTTGAATGTTTTATTGAAGATGAATGTCTGGAGAGAGGTCAGGGTCAGAAGGGTGGGGCAGAGGTCACTGGCAGATGGCAAAGCCAAGGCCTCCATGACAAGCCTGGACTCCCCAGGGAGAAGGTGCTAGCTAGTGGTGTCGGGAGGAACAGACGGTGGGGTCCTGCTAAAATGCTGGGAGCCCTGCAGAGGTGGAGTAGGCCCTGAGCAGTTAGAGGATGCAGTGTTTCTGGTTAGGGTGGGTGCCAGTGTGGCCACAGGTTGCAGAGAGCAAAGAGGGGGCTGGAGAGGTGAGCAGGGCCCGGGCCACGGGGGGCCCCAAGCTGGCACTGGCCCAATAAGAAGCCCAGCACATGCTGCTGGCAGCTGTAGGCCAGCCTGGAGCTAGGAAGAGCCTGGACAGAGGGGGCAGCTGGGCAGGGACCAGAGAGGAAGCATGCCCAGCCAGGCCCCTCCGAGGGCCATGGCTGGCCGGGGCTGCCCCCTCTCTGAGTGGCCCAGGGCCTGAGCACACTCCCGCTCCCACAGGCATTATTGACAGCACACACACCGAGCAGCGGCAGGTGGTGGCCGTGACAGGGGACGGGACCAACGATGGGCCTGCACTCAAGAAGGCCGACGTGGGCTTCGCCATGGTAGGAGCGGCCCGCAGAGGGCCTGGGTGGTGGGGCTGGGGAGATTGGGCTACATGGCCTTGGGCTGGCTGCTTGGGGACCCCAGTTCACTTGGCCCACCTGCCATCCGCCACATGTGCCCACCGTTGTCAAGGCTCAGTCTGGCCCTAAGGTCTTCCTGGAAAGACGTAGGATGCTCCTTGCTCTGGGGGAGCTATGTGAAGGGGGACAATTGCAGGCTGAGGAAGAAGGGAACAGCCGGAGAAGGGGCCAGGGTGAAGCTTCCTGAGGGAGAAGGAGGCTGGGTCTGTGAGGATCACGAAAAGTGGAGTGTCCCTGTGTGGTCTGGCTGTGCTGGGTCCACTGGGTGTGTGTACCAGGGAGTTGCGTAGCTGAGGATGTGGAGGGGTGAGGATGGTGATGCTAGAAGTGGTCAACTCCCCTGGCCACCCCACCCAGCCGGCTGTCCCTGTCCTTACAGGGCATCGCAGGCACTGACGTGGCCAAGGAGGCCTCAGACATTATCCTCACCGACGACAATTTCAGCAGCATCGTTAAGGCAGTGATGTGGGGCCGCAACGTCTACGACAGCATCTCCAAGTTCTTGCAGTTCCAGCTCACAGTCAATGTGGTGGCCGTGATTGTGGCCTTCACGGGTGCCTGCATCACACAGGTGGGTCCTCAGGAGGCCATACCAAAGCCCAGGGAGGCAGAGACCCCCAGAGAGGCTCGGGGCCCTTAGGGTAATCTACATCAGAACAGCCAGGGATGAGGCATCCATCGATGGAGAGCCTGTTGGGACCACAAACTGCGTCGCAGAGCTCAGGTGCAGGCACTGGCCCCAGGGGAGTTGAGGACATGAGGCTCAGAGAGGTGGCACGACTTGTTTAATGTCACCCAGCAAATGGGAGCTGTCAGGCTCACAGCCGGGCCCTCACTGCAGGAGGCAGGAAAGGGAATCCTCAAGAGAAGTCAGTGTCCTTGGCCACCAGTAGGGCAGAGGGAGGCGGGGCATGCCAGGGCCCAAGGGGGATCAGGCAGCGGGATGAAAACAAAGAGCCAGTGGGGGCCTGGCTCTGGGCTGGAGCGCAGAGTACCTCCAGAGGTGCGGGGTGGGGACAGCCCGAGGGAGTCGGGGTGCTCGCTCACTGGGAGTGTCAGAGAGGAGTCTGGCCAGATGCCACGAAGGGGTCTCGAGCAGCCACACTCACTGAGCCTGGCAGGCAGGCCCAGGAGGTCTGCAGACTCACTGCTGCTTCATCGCAGCTCCGCGAGGCGGGAACTGTGAAGATCCCAGTTTACAGAGACAGAAACTGAGGCTCAGAGGATGAACTGGCCAGGGACCTGCTGTTGATCTTGCAGCCTCCTGTTACCCCGCCTGGCTGCCTCCCCACAGGGGCTGACCAGCCCAGCCAGGGAGGCGAGGATGGGTCTCCCTTAGCCCCAGTGGATCCCTGAGGCCCAACCCTCCCAGTAGCCACCTGGGCAGACAAGCCCCTGCCTACAGGAGCCCCCAGAGGCCCACAGTGCAGCACTGCCCCAAGAGCTGTGTGGCTCTGGAACACTGCTCCCCTCTTTCTTGCTTCCTGAGCTGGGGGAATATAGGTGGCAGCTCCAGCTACCCCAGCCCAGAGCATCGGAGCCTTGGGAGGGTGGCTGGGGGCTTCCTTTTGCTCAGACGGGCCCTCTTTCTTGGTCTGTGGATGAGATGCTCCCTCTAGTGGCAGCTTTAGGAACACTCCCAGGGCAGCAGCACCCTGGAGACCAGAAGGTCTTGATGCCAAATAGGGAAACTGAGGTTCTGAGACAACTGTCAGCCTGAGGTCTTCGATTGAGTTGGTGGCAAGCCATGTCCTAAAGGAGGACAGGCACGCTTGACCCCGAGGCATATGGAATCAGAGAAGACCCGGGTGGGGAGGCCGGGGCAGGGGGAGCAAGGCTGAGGCAGGGAGGAGGTGGGAGAGAAGGCCAGGAACAGGGGCTGTGATGAAACCTAGGAGGTGATGAGTGGAAGAGATGCAGGTATATTGGGCCTTGGGAGAGTAGCGGTGGGAAGAGTAGTCAGTTTGGGCTGTTGAGCTAACAGGCTTTGGGAACTTCCTGGAGGAGGTGTTCACAGGCCTCTAGGTGGATGTGGCTAAAGCCACAGGGAGAGGAGAATGGGGCTAAGGCAGGAACACAGAGTTAGGAGGAGGGGAGGACGACAACCAGGAGACTGAGGTCAGGACTGCGAGTGGGAGGCAGTGGCCTAGTGCCAGGGCGAGGTCAGTAACATGAAGCTGAGAAGAGGTCCTGCAACTCATGACGCAGGACGTGCTGGTGACATTGGAGGGAGGCATTCTGGAGGTGTGGAGGGACCAAAGTCGGGCCGCTGTTGACAAGACGTGTGGGGGTGTGAGGAAGGATGGGGACAGCAGACTCAGCTCCACTCAGCCAGAGACAGGTCTGGAAGGGTCCCTCCCAGAACCTGGACAGCGGTGACCTACAAGTGGTGAGGTCCTTGACAAGTTTTAGCTGCTTCTGCTATTCCTTATTGATCAACATTTCCTGCCTTGAAATGTATTAATTTTTAAGTCATAGATATGCACAATAATTTTTTAAGGTAAGGTGGAATGATAAGAGGGGAGGAGAAATTGAGGGGCAAGGGATGGGCATTGTTTGTAGGAGAGCTCGAGAGGGAGGAGGCAGCGGGGGTGGAGGAGGCAGGAGCCCACACCAGAGGCGGTGGGAACGGTCTTGGCCTCAGCCAGGAGAGACTCCTCCTCAGGGGCTGGGGGGAAGCGGGGGAAGATGGTGAGATGCAGCTGAATTTACCAGAAGGCAGGGAGCTGGTGGCCATTGGACCTGTGGGGGACTCACTTCCCATGGTGGGGAAGATGGGGCTGAGGTGGCAGGTCTGCGTGTTCTCCAGAGAGGCCGTCAGAGAGGTGGCTCCATGCCTGCTGGGGAGCCAAGGGGCAGGTCAGCCTCCAACCTCTAGCAGGAGCCTGCGGGCACCACACGATGAGCCCACCCAGCACTTCACAGTGGCAGGTGGGCGCGCAGGTGACAACCTTCTCCCGCCCGTCCCCAGGACTCCCCTCTGAAGGCCGTGCAGATGCTCTGGGTGAACCTCATCATGGACACATTTGCCTCACTGGCACTGGCCACTGAGCCGCCCACAGAGACCCTGCTGTTGAGGAAGCCATACGGCCGCAACAAGCCGCTCATCTCCAGGACCATGATGAAGAACATCCTGGGTCACGCTGTCTACCAGCTCGCCCTCATCTTCACCCTGCTTTTTGTTGGTGAGCGCCTCGCCCACCCACACCTCTCCCAGGCGGGGCCACTGCCTTCTGGGGGCACCATGGCTCCCACCAAGCATTCTCGAGTCACAACCCCTCTTGTTTTGCCAATGGGGAAACTGAGGCCCAGGGAGGCAAGTAAGTTGCCCAAAGTCACACCAGCAAGTCATGAACAGGACCTGACCCTGTCCCAGCTCTGGCTGGCTGACCCCAAAGCCATCAGTGGCTTTCTCCACTGGTGACAGATCCCAGCACCAAGTACCTACTGTGCAAGGCCCTGTCTGGTGCTGAAGCACTGCATGGAAGCCCCAGAGGCTCCTGAGGTCGAGGGGAGAATGACTGGTCCCTTCTCAGACCCATTCCAATGCCTTATCCTGGCCCCGTGGAAGGGACCCTCGGTGAGGCTTCCTGGGAAGGGCACACATGCCCACACCACCACCGCTGATTCTCACAATGCTTCCACTTGGGCTGCCTGGTGGGTCTTCCACACAGTGAGGCAAGCACATTGGCTCCACTCCACCTTACAATCGAGGGCACCAAGGCTCAGAGAGGTGAGGTGACTTGGCCAAGGGCACACAGCCAGACTGAGGAAAAGGCACAGAACCAGGTCTGGCTGGGGCTAAGACTGGCCTGATTTCCACAGATGCTTCAGAGACAATCCCAGTAAAGCCTACCCCCAGGTCACAGATGAAGAAACAGAGGCCCAGAAAGGGGAAGGGTCTGGCCCACAGTCCCACATGGAGTTGGGGCAGGTGCTCCCCTTACAGGAGCCTCCTAGAGTTGGCCTTTCACTCATCCCCAGAGCCCAGAGTGTGATGGAGTTGGGGCATGGATCCCATTCCTCAAAAGCAGTCACCTTTTATACATTTTGAAAGTAGTATGTGTCGGGACACATTTTACTGTTGTAAAACTTAACATGAAAAGGCTTAGAGAAAGCCACCTATATGCAGAGCTAGAAGAGACTCAGAGGAAGAGGAGGGATGGGAGAGGAGAGGAGGGCAGGGGTCCCGATCGGCTTGCTGGCTTGGCCACTTGAGCAGTGCCTACCCTGGGTGGTCTTGGGACATCACCCAGAAAACTCCACAAGCCTCCTGGCACCACTTTACTCAGCTATGCAAAAAGACACAGGACCTGTAGCCTGGCCCAGAAGCCCTGGGCTCCGTATAGTAATTGGCATCTCTAATAGCCCCATGAACTTGCAGAGGTCTCAGCAAGCGACATGCTTGAGTACAAGCAGCAGCACTCTCGGGGCAGCCCGGAGCCTGCCACAGGTATCCTGTCCTCACAGTCCAGATGAGTTTGCCAGTCTGGGGTCGCTTTTTACAAGCCATGTCACCCAGTTACATGGCTGGCCATTCACCTTTATCAGGTTTCCACAGCAAAAGCGGAAGACAGTTCCCCAAGGCCTTTCTCCCCCAGAGGAGAAAGGATTTTGCCGAACCTTTGCTCCTACCCTCTGACCAGCCAACAGGTCGGCCACCTGGCCTGGCCCCCAGTGTCCAAGCATGCCTTGTTGTCTTGGGGACTCACCTTGCTGCTCAGAAGAGGCCCCCACGAAGGGCCGGGCATCTCCCCTCTGATGCTCCCATCGTGGCCTTCAGCCCAGCCCCGCCCTCTCACTTGGCAGGTGAGAAGATGTTCCAGATTGACAGCGGAAGGAACGCGCCCCTGCACTCGCCGCCCTCAGAACACTACACCATCATCTTCAACACCTTCGTCATGATGCAGCTCTTCAACGAGATCAACGCCCGCAAGATCCACGGCGAGCGCAATGTCTTTGACGGCATCTTCCGGAACCCCATCTTCTGCACCATCGTGCTGGGCACCTTTGCCATCCAGGTAGTGAGGCCCCAACCCTAACCAGGCCTGGGGTGGGTAGCAAGCAGCTGGAGCCCCTGGGCAGGGCCCTGAGAGCCAAGCCCTCTGTGCTGACCCCTGATAGCCTCTTTCTCTCTCTCTGCTCCCCTCTGACCTCCAGATAGTGATCGTGCAGTTTGGAGGGAAGCCATTCAGTTGCTCTCCACTGCAGCTGGACCAGTGGATGTGGTGCATATTCATTGGGTTAGGAGAGCTCGTTTGGGGTCAGGTAAGTTCCTGGTAGGTCGCAGGAGGTGCCTCTTAGCAGGGCAAGGGAGACAGCACTGGATGGAGAAACCAGGACCCCCAGAAATGGGCTGCCAGACCCCAGGCAAGGCCCTCCCTATCTCTGGACATCTGAGCAAGGGGGATTGTACCAGGTCCCATACTGGTCCTGTGGGTACCACGGTTCTGATTTTTCCTTATATCTATCTACCACTGCTCCTGTTGTTTATGTAATATTTTCTCTCAATCACGTCAGTTTTTTAAACTTAAATTTGTTTTAAAAGGCAACATCATATTACCAAGACAACTGGAAAATCAGTATCACTTGTTATAAATGGAAGCTAGCAAAAACATTCATGTAATAAGAATGATGTTATAACTCTAGCTAGGAGCCATGGCCTGCCATGGATTTGAGGCTGAAATAGATTGTTAGGAAGGGAGATGACTCAGTGGTCTGCAGGCACTGGTGGCCAGCTGGTGTCAATCAGGGTCCTTTGGAGCATTCACAGGGATCACTAGCGGGACATACTCTGCCACACTGCAGTGTTACTCAGTGCTGTGCCTGTGGCCATCTGAGAGCTGCCCCTGCTCTGGGGCCCCCTGGGTTGGAGGCTCTTTAGGGGCCCTTCTAGCTTTGACCTCAGAATATTCTCCCACCAGTTTCTTTTTCTACGTTTGCCTGAGTTCCAGACCCCATCACAGCTCTGACAGCGTGCAGCTCAAAGTCTCCTGATCCAGGACACAGTGCCTGGGAGGAGGACCCAGAACCAATTCAGGGCCTACGGGGCTTTATTCCCAAGGTGCTAGACATCCAGGTAGTGGGACCCCATGGGTGGAAGACATTGGTCTTGCCTCAAGTTGTCTGCAGGATAGGCTGAGAAGCTACAGTGGCAAAAGTTAACTAAAAGATAAATAAGAAAGTTTAATTTCATCCAAAAGGACTTCCTCTAACCTTTGGAGTTGCTTTAGAGAGTGATTAACCAGGTGTGACTTAGCAACTCCATTCCCTGGGCACCCTGGGCTCCACACCCTACAGGAGGCTCTAAGGGGATGGGCCCAGTGTCTGAGGAAATGGACTCAGAGGACTAAGGTTAATGCCAATGGGTAGTGCTGACCTTACACTCCCAGGGAGCCCTTGAGGCTGCATCCAAGCCAGTGCCTGTCTGTCCCTAGACGAGATGGAAGGGGCCTCTGACATCTGCCACCTCAGCTTCCCTGTAGGGCCTATGTCAGGGTCTTCAGCCCCACAGACAAGCCCTTTGGGGAAGATTAGGAATGAAGGCATAGCTTCTTCCCATACTGCCTTCCCAGTCCAGGATTGGCTGCCCTCAGGGTCCAGTGACTTCAGGAGGAATAAGGGACAGAGGAATAAGTGACCCCAGGAGAGCTGAGGGCCAGCCACAGGCCAGGCTCATGCAGGATGAGTTAGACCCTCCACCATGCCCAGTTCCCACCACACCCAGAGCGGCCCCCATTTACAGCTAGGAAAACCAAAGCTTGGTGAGGCTGAATGACTTGCCCAAGGCCGCAGGACCAGGGCTGGCTGGGGCATTCAAAGTCACAGCTGTCCAACTCCTAGAGGCCAAGATTGTCCACTGTGTCCCCCAACTCTGAATGAGTGAATTAAAAAGCAAATTATTAAGAAATTGTCAAAGACTGGGCTGAGGAACAGGTGAGGTGGGTCAAGGAGTGGATTGATCCTGTGCCTGGGCGAGTGGGTAGGAGGAGGGAGGTGGAAGAGCGGGTATCAAGGAAAGAAGGCCACCGGGAAGGGCAGCCCTGCCGTCCTGATGGCCAGAGTCCGTTGCAGGTCATCGCCACCATCCCGACCAGCAGGCTCAAGTTCCTCAAGGAGGCAGGCAGGCTCACGCAGAAGGAGGAGATCCCGGAGGAGGAGCTCAACGAGGACGTGGAGGAGATCGACCACGCAGAGCGGGAGCTGCGGCGGGGCCAGATCCTGTGGTTCCGAGGCCTGAATCGGATCCAGACGCAGGTACAGGAGGCTCTTGGGGGCTGGGCCCAGGCCTGGCCAGGGCGGGCCAGGGGATGGAGGTGAGTGTGCTTGTGCTGCCCCCAGGGCCCAACTCTGGTGCTGAGGGAGGGTGGCTACAGAGGGGTCCTGGCCAGCTCTCACCAGCCACTTGCATACCCACCTTGTGCACAATCCTGTGGCTGCTAAGGAACAGCATGACCTCCTCAGGGAGGTCCCATTGTGTCCTCTTGGGGCAGCAAGGGGATATGGGAGGGGTCACACCCACCGTGGTCTCACTGAGAAGGTGGGGAAGGGTTTCACTGAGAGGGTGGGGAAGGGTGGCTCTGAGGGCAGAGGTGAGTGAGGGGACTGTGGCTCAGGGCTGGGGACAGCCACCAGGAGAGGCTGTGCAAGGCTGGACAGAAGCTGCAGGCCAGTTCGCCCAGGGTCCCCCAGGGCCTGGTGGTCAGCTTGGTGGTCTACCACCTCCACAGGAGCTTCAGTCACTCTCCCGAGCTTTCCCCAGGGTGTGGAGAGGCTGTGGGGAGCAAATGTCAGTCATCCCCAGGTACACACAGACACACATGCACACACCAAGCACACCAGGGGAGCACAGGTACAGGGCATAGCCAGCTAGAAGCAGGTTTCTTCCCCAGAGCAGAGACAGCATGGCTGCCATGTGGCACATGACACACTTGTGTCCACGCCCCTCCCGACACACACACCCCACACACTCTCACAGGGGCCCCTTATGTCTGGGCAGGTGTTATAGCTCACAGGGGCTATCACAGCCCTGCGAGGGGAGGGTCAGAAGGGCTTATGTGGGTCTCTTGCCCAGACCACCCAGGGAGCTGGAGTGGGAGCTCCTCCATGCCCAAGCACACTTGGGAGAAGCGTGGTGTAGAGGTACACACCTGGCCACCGTCCTGCTGGACATAGCCCTGTACCTCATTTCCATCCAATGTCCCGGCAGCCAGAGGGGTCAGATAACTCACCTGGGTCACCTCCCACCCCTCTGTACCCTGTTCCAAACCTTACCTCATGTAACCTTCACAGCCCTGGGAGGTAGAGGTGACTCCCCCAGTGTAGAGGTTATCAAGGTCTAGGAAGGAGATGGCTGTTTCTACAGAGCTGGCACAGCTGGGGCAGGGACTGGAAACAGGTTTCAGCCCGGAGCTGCCTGACACAGGCCTGGCTCACCTTCCCTGATTAGGACCTTGGCAGCCAGCCCTCCCAGCCGACCCCCACCTCCTGGGAGGTCCAGGACAGTGAATATGGCTCTGGTGCTGTCACCGCCCTGGTGGCAAAGGCATGCAGGAGTCTGCAAATTACAGGAAGAAGCAAGGACTGCGCTTTCTTGAGTGGGCAGGGGCGCCTGTCTTGCCTGCCTCTTGTGGAACACTAGCGTGGGTCAGGTGCTTTGCCACACACAGATGACCCTGCCAGGCAGGTGGCATTGACCCTTCTTAAGAACAAGAAACTCAGAGAGGTGACTTGCCCAAAATCACCTGGCTAGTAAGTGACAGAACTGGAATTTGGGCCAAGCTCTGTCCACCTCATGGCCCCCACCACACCCTCTAGCTCCACGCCTGTACCTGAGGGAGGCTGAACACTGCGCTCTTCTCTCCAGGCATGTTTAATCACTGCCTTCCCCATTGGCCCCACCTAGCCCACTGGCCCCTCAGCCACTAGCACAGGACAAAGGCCAAAGCCCCTGTGTCCTCCCGGGGACCCTGGTGCCTGCAGGTGGGCCCAGAGCTGAGCAGACATCTTTCAGAACCTTGAAGTGTGTTGGTATTTTTGTTTTAAGTGACGTTGTCATTGTCGCCGTGGCTGCGGCTGTTCTTGTGACGTTGCGCCTGTCAGTCATGTAGCTGTTGTGTTCGTTCTTCTCGCAACTTGTCTCGTTCTCTCCTCCGTTGCAGATTGAAGTAGTCAATACTTTCAAGAGCGGGGCCTCCTTTCAGGGGGCCCTGAGGAGACAGTCCTCGGTCACCAGCCAGAGCCAGGACGTAGCCAATCTCTCTAGCCCTAGTCGCGTGTCGTTGTCCAATGCTCTTTCCTCTCCGACCAGCCTTCCTCCTGCTGCAGCCGGGCGTGAGTGTGACTCCTTACTGCCTCCGGCTGGCACTGCCCATGCCAGCTCCCAGGCAGGCAGGGGCTGGGGCACCAGAAGACATGGGGGGCAGCTGGTCACGATCAGGCCCAGGGGGCTGAAGGGTCACAGCCACTGAAGAGAGTCCCATTGGTCAGAAGAGCGTAGCCAGTCATGGGGTGGCAGTCATGGGGTGGCAGTCACGCAGTGGACCAGGGTCAGTCAGAGGGTTGTTAAGGTCCCAAGTGGCCAGAAAGTCTGGTTCAGCTAAGGGATCACCATTGGTCAAGAGGGCATCAGTGACCAAATGGTCCCAATCCACCACAGGGTCCCGGCAGCCAGAGGGGTCAGTCATGGAGGGGACACAGAGTGTCCCACTGGCCCAGGGTCATAGGTAGTCAGGAAAAGCCTGGACCGCCAAGGCAAGGGTTGGAGTTGGACAGGAGGTCCCAGTCTTGCAGTCAGAGTCAGCAGAAGGGTCCCTGTGGGTCAAGAGGAGCAAGCCCCTCAGGGTCACAGTCACATTGGGGTTCAGCCAGGAGAGGGTCACATCATCCAGACTTTCCCAGCTGGTCAGGGGGCATCCACAGCAATGAGGGTCATGGTCAAGGGGGATGGTTGAGTCAAGAGGTCACTGCAGATAAGAGTCATAGTCAGCCAGGGGTCCCAGGCCATGGAGGAGCTCACGGCCTGGAGGCCCCACCCCAGCAGTTCAGAGTCTCTGTCCACTTCCCATCCCTCCTCCCCTTGCACTTTTGACAGCATTAATTGCCCTGCAGATGCCTCTCCATGTGCAGAGCTCGGAACATGCTGAAGTCCTAAGCCTTTCTGGAAAAGACAAGGTTCCTGGTCCATTCAGCTTGACCCATGGTAGAAAATGGTGGGTCAAGCCTCACGTCTTGCCTGGCTGCCAGCAGGCCCAGAGGGACCTGATTGACCCTTCGGCATCCTGCCCTCCTTTATCTGAGGCATGGTCTGGGACTCCGGCCCCTCCTTCATCTCCCTCCTGCCAAGCTCATCTCCTCACACTTCTGATCTACAGCGCTCATCACTGGCTTTGTCTGGCTCTTTCCTGGACCTGTGACTTCAGGCCCCATGGGGAACAAGTCTCTCTTTCCTCCAGCCGCCCTGCTTCGTTCCCAGATGTTTCAGAAGTTGGGCCCTTCTGAACTGCCGGGGATCCCCTGGTTCTGGTCTTCTCCAGCTGACATAGTGTCAGTCTCAGCCTCCAACTTCTTTGATGAGAAATAGACTCCAGCTCATCTCTTGAAACTTTATAAAAGGCCTGTATCCCTATCTAGAACCAGAACACCCACAACACACACCCCCACAGCCAAGCAGGCAACCCCATGTGCTAGTGGGAGCACCTCCCTCAGCGCCTCCAACAGGAGGGACGGGCCACAGAGAGCCTGTTGACGGCAAATGCCCATGCCCCACAGTGGCAGGAAGGAAGCAGAAAGCAGGGAAGGAGCCCTCAGTGCTCATTGGTCAGCACAGAAACGCAGTGTTGGGGAGGCCTGGGGAGCCAAGATGAAATGGAGATGCATTTGAGCAGATGGTATCTGAGTCACATTTCCATGAGATACCATCACTAGGCAGCCACTGCCAGAATTTCTTGGGGAAGGCAACACTGGTCTCATCCTCCTCCCCTTTAGACCAGAGAGCTCCTGCCTTAGCGGCAGCCTCACCAGCTAACCTCCCAGTTCCTTTCTGTCCCTGCACCAGCTCAGCTCTAGCCTTGCTCAGCACCCACAACTATCCTGAGGTGCAGTGACCAAGTGTCCTGTCAGGGAGAGCTACATGGGGAAGAATCCACTTCTTCCATTCCTGCCACCCCTCCCGGTGACTCCCACAGCCCTCCAGCTGGGGCTGCCTGCCGGGAGTCTGGCTTCCAGGTGAAGGCTCAGTTCTTCATCCATCCCAGTTCAGCCTCTTTCCTGAAGGGCAGTACTTCAGCCTCCCATGACAGAGTGCACCTGCCATCACTGGGCACCCCCACTGCCTTTGGCAGTCTTCGCTGAGTTAGCCCCTCATCTTAGTTCTCTCAGTCTAGAAGCAAGAGCTCTCCTCTCAAACCCCAGCCACTTCTTTCTCAGCTTTTCTTCTGCATCATTTTAAAACCATTCAATAGGGCCAGTCCAGGAACAACACTTCTTTGCAGAAATGCATAGACAGAAGTGTGGTGTCTAAACTGACCCTCCTTCCAGGCCAGATCAGTCCCCTGTAGCCCATGGTTACCCCAACTTTGGAACAGTCTTGGAAAAGAAGCCCAGGCGCTCAGCCAAAGCCGACTTGACAGTCCTTGCCCTGACTCCTCATCCTCTCAGGGGACCCAGCAGGACTCCCCGCCCTGCTCACCATCTTGCCTCTCCCCTCATCATGCCTTCTGGAGAATCTCACATTCCCTCTCTGTGACAGAATCCAGCCTGTCATTCTGGGTACCTCCTGAGACCCTTCCTGAGTGTGTGGCCTTAAAAAGAGCCTGACCAAACCCCTGCCTGAGGGCACTGGTTCCCAGACAGGATCACAGCCTCTGTGGTCTCAGCACACATGTTACCCCAACACAGCCTTGTGCCTTTTTTGCTTGAATAGTGTCTACAACAGTGCTGCCTCCTCTGGTCTCCAAGGAATCTGAGGGCCCTCTAGACACCAGGCAAGGTCCCTGCAGAAGCCAGTATGCTTTCCTCCCACAGGGAGGTTTAAACAGGTGGCCAGGAAGTGAGAGAAGGGCCTCAATTTGATGGGATGAGGAAGTGGGCAGCTCCACTGTCCTGCAACTCCTTCACCCCTACTGCACCCCCACCAGCCTTCTGAGCAGGATCTGCTTCCTAGGGATTCCCCAGCAGAGGAGGCTGGCCGTGTGCCTGCTCAGGCAAAAACACCTGCAGCCAGTGTGCCCTGGAAGAAGTCAATCCACTGTCCCCTGGGTTATCAAGAGTTGACCACAAAGGCCTGGGACAAGGCCTGACTTCTGACCCGGGACACTGGGGTAAAGAAAGCCCCTGAACACATCGCAGGCCCTCCCCTCCCATGGCACCACCGTGAGACGAAGGCCCCAGCAGACAGACGCACGTGGTAAGCCTGACTGCAGTCACAAGGCACATGGCTTGAGGACTCTTGGGAGGGAATGAATCGGTGCACTCTTCTGACTTACTCAAAAAAGAGTTTGTTTTTGCCCTGGAAACTTAATGGCGCACCCTAGTGCCTTCTACCTGAGCCCCACTCAGCATTTCCGGAGCAGTTCCCCACTCCCTTTGCTTCACAGATGCCTCGCCACTGAAATACAGGAGGGGAGGACGTGCCAATATATCCATTTCACAGAGAAAGACACAGATGGGGCCAGGGTCACACAGCAAGGGTGTGTCAAGAGGTCAGACTCTGGAGTCCCTCATTCTTCCCACTACTCACACCGCTTCCCAGGCAGGCCCATAGACCTGGAGCCACAGAGGCTGAACTTCCATTTCGGAACCAGTGCCCACGCCCATGTCCACGTGAAAAGGAACCAGTCCTCCAGGGAAGGCCAGGGAAGCTGTTTCTCAGCTTGAAACTCTACCAGCATGGCCAGGACTGGGGAGAAGGGCACCTTCCCACTGGTGATCAAGGACAAGATTGGCACCTCACACTTTGATCCAAGGCAAAGCCACACAGCCTCTCTTTCTCACCGCCTCACATTTCTAACTCATCTCAAACCATCTTTGTACTTAGCAAGTCTGTAGCAGGCTCCACGTTTATCAGTGGAAGTCCTGCTCCTTCGGGCCACCCAAGCCAAGAGCCGGCCCCATAAGCCAGGTCCCAGCCACATTCTGGATGCCATACCTTTCTAGACAGACAGGGCACCTCCTGCTCCCACTTCCCCTGCAGATTCCTGGTTCTGAAGACTCCTAGGGCAAGGAGTGTGCACTGTTAGGGGGAGAAATGAAGACAATGAAAAGGGAAGAAAGCTGGACTTCTCCTTAGTGTTTTGGTAACTAATTTAGTACAACCTTGGGTTGGCAAGGAAATGGCTTGCTTTGTGGGGGGGCCCTAGACCTCTCCGCTGTCTGAATATTCCATGTGTTTGTTTCCCTAGAGGGCTAGAGAACCCTGGACACAGAGTTCAGCAAGAGAGAGTGAAATTAAAAGAGGTTGTGAGTCTTTAACCTTGAGCCTGAAATGAATGTGAATCAATCCCAGACTCTTGGCTTCCTTGAAGCCGGGTAAACATTCGAGTATGTCGAACCCATCTCAGACCGGGGCCTGTGCATCTCCTCAGAGCCCTCTGACAACGGGCACAGGTCTCCCTGTTCCCTTTGTGCTGATGAAACCAAAACATCTGAAACCCCACTCACTGGGTCCCTTCTTCTCCTTCCCCTCACCCCCACGCCCAAACGCAGCTATGCAAAAAAAAAAAAAAAAAAAAAAAAAAAAATCCCACCTTTAGGGTAGGCAGGGAGGGGAGATGGAAGAGCTTTTTTTTCCCATATTTTTTTCCATTTCAGCCTTGGAGAGAACCGAAGTGGAGACTTGAGATGGCCGTGGCGGGGTGTCCCGAAAAGTCTTGTCCCCAGTCTTGTCCAGAGCAGTTCATCTTTTCTGTTGTCTCCATGCCAGGGGGAGGGCGGAGGGGCCTCATCTCATTGTGTGTCATCCCCTCTGCGTTGTCAGTCACATGACAGGGTCCTGCCACCACCCCCTGGCCCCACACATACACTACGTATTCCAGTCAGCATCTGAATTGCACTTCAGCCTCAACACACTGAGCACCAGGCTGGGTAGCTACAGCCATGACTGCTATTCCCATTCTACAAATAAGAACACTGAGGCCTGCAGCACCTTCTTTGTTTTCAGTTAATCAAGAGTGTAGCAGCTCACTTATTAGGAGATCAGAATGTGAACCATCTCTGCAGAGCCACAAGGAGGAACTCCAGGGGGAAAGAGAACTCAGAGCAGCCACAGTGGCCATGATGGAGCACCAGCATGAAGGCCATGTCTGGCTGACTCTTGCTTGGCACTTGCTGTCTCTTATTTAAAGCACCATCCCAGCAGTGGGATACCCTGGAGTCCCAGCTCACAGTATCCAAGGTGAAAGGACAGAGGTGCTTTTCAGAAAACAGAAAAGTCAGCACTAACTAATAAGCCATGGCTGACAGCAAGGGAAAAAAACAAGCCAGTCCATGGGATCTTACCTAAGACCAAGAAGGATGACAAACCTTTGTTAAATTCTTCTCTGTGCACTCTAAATTAGAAGTCAGACAAGCGTATGACACGCTTTAGAAAGAATTCCCTCTGCAACAGTAAAACAAACCTTCAGCGATGACACTTAAAATCATCAACCACTGTCACCTTGAAACTCCACTTCCATGGAAGAGGGCTTTCCCCACCATTGTCCCACAAAGGAGCTGCCCCTGGGTTCCGCTGACAGCTCAAGTCCTGGGACTTCAAGGGCCTCCCCACGACCGTCTCGCCCAGTCCTCCGCCTCCCCACAGGCCTGTGGTGTAGGGCAGCCACTGCTCTGCAGGTGGGTGCCACTTGGCCTGCACACAGCAGCCTTAGGACTAAGGCTCTGTCCTGGAGGTGCCAGTGCCACCTTGTTTTCTCCACCTCTTTTGAGTTGCGGCTGGGACGAGAGGAGGAGGCACCTTTGTCCCAAGTCCCATCAGACTCTTGAGATGATAGGCACTGCTGCCCCTCCCAGGAGTCCAGAGAAGGGACACCTCTCTTCCAAGTGAGGGTCCTGTCCCTCTGCACCCGGTGAGGCAGGACAGAGGACAACCAGAGAGCTAGTGTGGCTTGTCCACAGTCAAGGCACCCAACGTGGTAGAGCCAGGACACAGGTCAGGTCTTTCTGCCTCCAAGTCCAGTGCTCCTCCCACCAGCCTTGAAGCCTCAATGACCAGCCTCCTCCCATTCTTCAGCGGAGGAAACTGAGGCCCCAGGATGTGTGGTTCACAACTGAGACAGAAAATGAAAGAACTCGCTATTTTGTGACTCATTTCCACACACCCCAGAATCCCACTGGCGCTGGGTTTGGCCATCTGATTTCAGCCTCATTTTTTGGTTTTGTGTTTTCAAAGCACAATTAAACAAACAAAATCCCCCAGGAAATGAGAGACCCCAAAGCAAGCTCCAATGACTGGCCGGCCAGGGCTTTGAGTCTATACTCGAGTGTTTACCTCCCAAATGCATGAAGGAAAGAAACGCTGGGTACAAACGACCTCCGTTCACATTGTCCAGGCTTCCAAGTGTAGCCGTGTGTCCGTCTGTGTGTGCCGTGTGGCTCCCAGCCCCTGCGTGGCATGCAGCCCGCCCCCAAATGTCATCCGTCCACCGGCTCCCGTGTGCTTTCTGGCTGCCTCTGCCCTGCACCTCAGAAAGCCCTGGGTTGGCTTTGGTTTGCTTTGCTGCCTTGGGTTCAATGTTCCCGTTCTGTTTGGCCCTCATGTGTCTCTCTCATCCCATCTCATCCAACCGTCTCTCCTTTCTGTTCCTTTTCTGTTTGTGACACGTAACCTGTTTCATGTTGTATGGTTTCTTAACTGTGTGTGGTTTTTCTAAGATGAATTTTTTAATAGCCTTTCCTCTTTCCCACTTGATTCTCACCTGGTCCTCCTCCCCGTCTGCATGGTTGAACCTCTGCTTCAAAGTGAACAAGGCTCAGTCTCTCACTAGGTGTGGGTGCCCGCAGGAGTCGACTGTGCTTCTTTTAACCACTGTTTCCCATCATCTCTCTGATGGTGCTTGATGATTCCTCCTGTCCTAACACTGTAGTTTCTACCAAAATCAAAGTGATTTTTAAAACCCAGCTCAAGGATACCTATAACCTGAGCCCCCTTTTTCACTCTTCCCCCATCCTGGCGATGCTAATAACACCCAGCGACTATGGATTCCAGCCACCTGCTGTGCCCTACCCATTCTCCCGCCCGCCCCTCCTGTGAGTCCCTGGAGCCTGGCTGTGGTCCCGGGCGGTGCTCCTGACCCCTGTGCTTCCCTTGCAGATCCGCGTCGTGAAGGCGTTCCGTAGCTCTCTCTATGAAGGATTAGAAAAGCCTGAGTCTCGAACCTCCATCCATAACTTCATGGCTCATCCTGAATTCCGGATCGAAGATTCCCAGCCCCACATCCCCCTCATTGACGACACCGACCTGGAAGAAGATGCCGCGCTCAAGCAGAACTCGAGCCCGCCATCATCGCTCAACAAGAACAACAGCGCCATCGACAGTGGGATCAACCTGACGACCGACACAAGCAAATCAGCTACCTCTTCAAGTCCAGGGAGCCCCATCCACAGCCTGGAGACGTCGCTTTAGCTGAGGACCCTGTCACCTGCCCGCCTGCCCTCGCGGACCCCGCTGCCACCCGCCTCCCGGGCACCCATCCATCCAGGCACCCAACTCACCCAAGCAGCAACGAGCAACAACCGGAAACCAAATACTGGAGAGAAAACCAACGTTTCCACCAACAGACCCTTTCTCTGGCTGCGATGCTGTTTGAACTCTTTTTCACTTCAAGGCAAGGGGCGGGATCTCCCCTGGGGGCTTACGGGAGTGAGCGGTTTTCCCAAAATAAGCCCTTCCTGGCTCCTACCGAGACATGGACCAGCCATGCACCCGCCCAGCCACCACGTCCCCCGCATGAATGTACTGTACACTTTCAATCCTCCCCTTGTTTGGTTTTGGGGGGTTGGGGAGGGGTTTTTTTGTTTGTTTTCTTAGGCGGGAACTGCAAACAGACTCTTTTCTGAGACTATTTATCCAATCCACTGGTCTGTGAGTTTTTGAAATGCTTGCGCAGCATGGTCTCAGTTGTATAGATTAATTTAATAACTTTTTGAAATTGCAGAGCTTAACTCGCCTAGTAGATTTGCACCAATGGAACCGAAGAACTTCATAGACACTCACAAGGTTATATCCATTTCTTTGTATCTATATCAACGTATACTTCTCCAAGACCGTATACGTCCATATAGATAGGTAGATATATATATATATAAATATATATAAATATATACATGGATATATAAAGTTTCTTTGCCGGCATGTTGCCTTGTTTCTGCTTAAATTGCTCTATTTTAACTTATTTATGTCCTAAAAGAAGAATGTAATTTGTTTACAAACCTGTAGATAACGTCTTTGGCTATTTGTACGGTTTAAGAACATGGTGGCTGAGATGCTGTAAAAACAGCTCGGCCCGACAGACACTTCCCCTGGGTTGCATCCTTGATGTTTTATGATAGCCATGCTCTGATTTTTGCCTGCTATTTCCGTTCAATACTGTCACTACCGTGAGAGGCTCAGGCAGAAACCAAATGCCACCGAGTTGCCATCCTGAGGGGTTTAACAACATGCTCCGTAGACAAAGGGAGAGGAGGAGAGAAGGCTTCCTGGGTTTGCAACACTAACGGCCATCTGGCCCAAGGATACCAGGATCTGCAAAGCACTGCTCGAAGACTTTTCTCTCAATGAAACTCGCTTGCGTTTACTAAGAGCATTTCAAACACAGGTTCTCTTTGGCACTGTCTGTACAGAGATCGAGGTAGTGTTGAAATATTATAAATGGTATTGTGTTGATTTTTTTTTTAGTAACTTACAGGTTTATTTCCTTATTAATGGCAGCGTCTGAGCTGTTGGCATATTGGATGAGGATCAGTATGGCTTGCTGCTTTTATTTTTATTTTTGAAGAATAGCCTTTTTCTCTGCACTATTTAGATCCGAATGAACCTTATGATGTGTATATTGAGATGTATTCAGTGTGATTTTAAACCAAATTGTCTTCCTGTAGTCACAATATATACTGTAGCCTTTTAACAGCAAGTCTTGCTTTCCCAAACAGAAAGCCATTCTGAAACCCTACAGTATCACAGGTGAGAAAAGGTGGTTATTTTTCCCCAAGACAACAGCACTAGTAATCCCACTTAATAAGAGCTTATTTAATTGTATGTCAGCCTCTTAACTGCTAAGCACTTTGTGGGTCTCAGCGTTTTTCATAAAAGAACTTTTGTATTTAATACAAAGTTTGCTTTGAGACTTTTCAGCATATGATCTTTTTCCATAAACTTGTACAGTGCAAAAGACATTTTGAATACCATGATCAATGATGTCCCATGCTTTGAGGAAAACCAAACACTTTCCGCCTCTCTTGCAAAATCCATTCTTCATGCTGACCCTCCCCACAGTGGCTGCGTCAGTCCAGCCCCTTCCCTTCTCCAGGCCCAGAGAACTCTTCCACAAACAAGATGAGAGCCACTTGGGAAAAGAGCCATAGTCAGCTGGGAGGGCCTACATCTGGATGGCTGTGGAAAAACTTGAGGGTTTGGGGTTCAAAGTCAGCCCATCCCACCTGGCAAAATCCTCCTGGAAGGAGGACCTACTTTTCAAGAGCGCACCACCTGAATGTCGTGAAGAAATATATCTGAATGTATCCAGCAGAGGAAACTGCAGACCCAAAGGGGTGACCAGCCCTCAGATGTGCTTATTGGAGTCCAGTACAAAGGCCACCAAAGCCAGCCCGCTGCTCTCCTATGAGGAAGAAAAGACCTGCGCGTGCAAAACATGGGCAGCCTTGGAACATGGTGTTTTTTGGAGTTTCCTTTCTCACGGTTTTCCATCTCCCCCTTTCTTTGGTCAGTCATGTGTTTGTGACCTCATTCCATGACATCAGGATAGCTGTGTTTGCACACCTTGCTCCATGTTCATTTGGAGCCAGGAGGGGTTCTCAGCGGAGCCTGCCTTGGGGAACAGGGAGCGATAGAAAAATGCCAGCATTCGTGTTGGTCTTCTCTTGTCAGGAATGACGGATGCTTGCACACACGCACCCCTCACTCTCACACTTGCACACACATACACACACACAGGAAATGGTTGGTTTGTCAAAACTCACTATAGTACATAAAGCTTGCACTCTGCGTCCTATATCTAGCAGCATGGGGTACGTTTGGCAGTTCACCCCATTAGGGGGTAAATAATTTACGACCATCTGTTTTTATGAATTTTTTTATCTAGACAATAATTGTAAATAAAGAACTCACCATCTCTGTTCATTTAATACTATGCAATGGTTATGCTTTCAATCACTGGCTCTTCTGACTCCCACAGTGTGGTTCTGAAATGTCTGTGGTTTAAAAAAGGCAAAAAACATCAAACAGAACGTAGTAAATATATCTGTAATATATACTTTTTTCTAGTTTGGGACTGCACCATCCACGTAGCTTCTTTTCTGCCCTCTGGACAAGGGCTCCGGGAGAAGGTAGCAGATTCGGTTCTGAGAGCTAAGCTCACCAACTTGTCTCCCCCTCAACAGATGAGGGAAGGGTAGGGAGCCCGTTCAGCAACTCCCGGCGCTGCAGAATCACTCATCTTTGGAGGTGAGCCGGGAAAGCTCTGAGGAGTTTCCTTCTTGCAACTCAGAGCTTTCTTTAACTCAGGAGCAGCCTCTGTTGTTCCCACCAACTTCTCACCATTGCCCCTTGTCCCCTTGTCCCAGCCACAGCATAGAGATGACAAGAAGGAGGTGGTTCTGTTTCTGAGACTGGACCAATTAAAATGACTGCACTAGCTCAAGGACTCTGAGCCTATCTTGTCCTGGGTCTCCCAGTTATTGGAAGCTACTCTTTTCACAAACCATGTTGAAATGCCACCTTTACCACACACTGACGTCTTATATAGACTTGGATCTATTTCTGGAACTTCTCTTCCCTTACCTGGATGTCTCATCTGGCACCAGCCATACGATTTTAACTATTGTCACTTTCTAATGTCTAATTATGTGGTGGGATGAGTCCCTTCACTCTTCTTTTACAAAATTTCCCAGTTATTCTCACATCTATTCTTCCACATAAACTTTAAATTGTGCCCAGTCCTCCACCCCCATCCCATTCCCATCCCAAATTTTGGGCCCTGTCATTCCCTGTGCCATCATCTTCCCCCAACTCATTGTAATTACTGTCCACTCAGGGCTGTGAAATAGACTGTGTCCTATAAAGAGGGACAAAAAGGGCATCCTGATCTTGAGGGAAGCCTGCTGTTCCTCCCATCGTTTCACCTGTCCCCTAAGCCCAGGAGTTGTCATGAGAGACCACCAGCCCCCACTCAATCGCAGCTTGGGCACCAAAGTCACCCACCTTGGTTGTGTTGGGGTGGACCCGCCATCTGTCCCTGGTCCAGATGAGAAAGAGGAGTCTCTCCCAGGCTTGGAGCTGGGAAAGAGTGTGTGACCCAGTCGTCTGAACTTCTAATTCTCATCATGGAGAAACCTTTATTCCTGTCTCTCTCTCCTGAACTGGAATTTTGTTGTTTTTGTTTTATTTTGTTTTGGGGGGATCACTTCTTGCTCTTTAATTCAGAGTCTCCAGCACCTTTGGGATGCAGGCAGTTCTTGCCTGGGCCTTCTCGGAACCCTCACTCCCCTAGCCCACTCTTGGGATACCTACAGGAGGCTGCCAACCTGGTGCACTGACAAGCCTCCCACCCAAATCTCTTTCCTGCTATTGTGTCCAAAATCCCACCATTAGAGGATCTTGTAGGGAGGAGCATTTCTTGAAGGCTTTTAGGCCTTGCAGAGCCAGAGCAGAAGTCAGACAACAGCAGGAAGTCCCCAAGCCTTTTCAAAGTTCCAAACCAAGCTCTCCTGATTTTAATGTGGAGATCATACCCACCCACATGGGGGTGGAGGGTCCCCAGCCCCGGGCAGCAGCCATCACCCCCTCCATTGAAAACGATATTGGAGGCTGCTTTGGGACTGCCCTTCTCAGCCCCCTAAGTCTGTTTTGTAATGCCTGTGGTGCTCTCCCTCCCGGACCTTTCCTCTCGGGGGTCACCACACTTTGCTAACTCTTGTGTGCATATATTTTATAATAGAGTAGCGAGGGAATGGTGCCGCCTCCAGCTTCCATAAGCTGCCCGGGCTCTGGGGGGCTCTGGGATAATCGGGGCTGGGAAGTGACTGTGCTCTTATTGTACATTCTTTATTTCTCTGTATCTTTGGCTTGTGCTCTTTGTAATTAATGGGATTTGTCTGCCTTTTCAACACTATACTGAGCAATAACAATAAATGCACACGTGGAAATGCAGACACGGTACACATCACAAGGCCTTTTTCTGAAGGACAGCTGGGTCCCTGCCCTCCGTGAAGTTGATCTCATGGGGAAACTGAGTTCCTGGGAGGGAAAGGCACTTTGCCCAAGGGCCCACAGCTCAGCCAGTGGTCTCTCTTTCCACTAGGTCACACCTTTTGAACACCCACCATTTGAGGGAGACAGGCTTACCCTGCCATAAGCCATTAACCTATAAGGAATGGTTGACCATCTCATAGAAGAAGACTAGGGAAAGGGATCTCAGGAGGAAGAGGAGAAGGTTTGGGGGCAAGGGGTGGGGGGGTGCAAAAATCGGGGAAAGTTAGCCTGATTTGGGGTCTAGATCAACCAGAGAGAGGAGATGGGGAATACAGACACAGGATATAGGTGGCATCCCCTACTGGGGATTGGGGTAAGGCAAAGGAAAGCCTGGCACCCTAGGAGTCTAGACTTCACAAAGCTCTGCTGAACACTGGCAGAGAAAGAATATGCCCACACCAAGAAGCAATCCCTAAGGTTTGCCCAAGAGTTTAGGGTTACACACACACACACACACACACACACACACACAATCACAGCCCTTTTTAGGTTGAACTGATCCCCAAATCAAGTGCCATAGGCCCATCCAACTTCCAAACACAATTTCATATCCAAGGGTTCCTTTAATCCCAATATCAACCTTCAGAGGACATATTATTATAATTCTTACTCAAAAGAGCAGGAGATAGAAGCTCTGCCCACCTGATAAGCAGGGGATCCAGCACTGACACCTAGCAGTCTTAATGCCAGCATCTGCACTCTAAACCTCTATATTACAGTGTCTAATGGGCCAAATACCCAACAGCAAATACCTTAATGAAAAAGATACAGTTCTGTTGCTTGTCACTAATCCCCAATCTCTTCAACATCGGTGTCTACACAAGGACATTCTTTTCATCACAATTATGCCTCATGCATTATATTTACATCTAATATGCCTTAGTCCTCATTTTCCACTCAAAGAAAGTGAGGCTCAGAAAGAAGTGATTTGAACTTATCACCTAGAAAGTCAGTGGTGAAGCTACAGATCCAAGGCCAGGGCCTGTTCCTTGAAGAACAGGAGATCTGGCCAGTCGCAGTGGCTCATGCCTGTAATCCCAGCACTTTGAGAGGCCAAGGCAGGTAGATCACCAGAAGTCAGGAGTTCAAGACCAGCCCGCCCAACATGGTGAAACTCCATCTCTACTAAAAATACAAAACTTAGCCAGGCGTGGTGGCTCATGCCTGTAGTCCCAGCTACTCAGAGGTTGAGGCAGGAGAGTCACTTGAACCCAGGAGGTGGAGGTTGCAGTGAACCAAGATCACACCACTGGACTCCAGCCTAGGTGGCAGAGTAAGAGTCTATCTCAAAAAAAAAAAAAAAAAAAAAATCCCCCCCTCCAACCTACCTTTGTTCCCTGCTTTACCCTAACCGCCACCCCCTCACACCCTGCAATAATTTCTCCATTAGAGGGCAATAAAAAATCTTGAAAGTTGCAGTGGGGTGGAAAAGCAAGATGCCGGGAGGCCTGGCCCTTAATTCTAACACCCTACTCCCCTGGCCTCTCCAAAGCTCCTTGACAGTCTGGGTCTATCACGCTCTCTGAGCCTTACATCTTCCTTCAAGCAGTGACCATCTCCAGCTAGGGTCCTTACTCCCAGTTTCAGCAGATGAAACTAAAGAACTGTGACTTACCCAAGGGGAGCCAAGGCCTACCCAGCTCACCTGCCTTCTCAATGTCACAAGGGGCCCAGGGCTAGACCAGTTGTGGCTGAGGGGAGGCCCCCAGGCTCTGTCCTCCACTGCGGCATTCTCACTGCGCTTGTGGGAAGCCTTCAGCTACCCTACCTTGGGAAGCCAGAGACCTGGTATTGGAGGCACTGTGGGGATGGGTCTGGGGCTCTAGCTGCAGAAGCTTGGCTGAGATCCTTCACTGCCTAGGGGAATCTCCCTGATGGGACTTACTCCGGACCCCAGGGGATCGGTTTGGAAGGGACGGTCCTATATAGTGGTTAGGGATGGCAGGGCAAGAGGCCTGAGCCTCTGGTGAGGGGCATTCCTGGCCTCCTCTGCCCTGGTCCCAGTCCTTGGGTTGTGAGCAGGGGACTACAACAAGGAAGCACTAGGATAGCCTACTCCCAAGACATTACCCATCCTCCAACATTCATCATAAGGCCAGTCACACCCAGAGCCGCAGGGAGGCAGGTGAAGCTAGATAGATAGATTTTATTTTTTTACATTGTCTCGCTCTGTCACCTAGGCTGGAGTACAGTGGTGCAGTCATGGCGTACAGCAACCTCCGCCTCCCGGATTCAAGCCATTCTTCTGCCTCAGCCTTCCGAGTATCTGGGACTACAGGCGCGTGCCACCATGCCTGGCTAATTTTTGTATTTTTAGTAGAGACAGAGTTTCACCATGTTGGCCAGGCTGGTCTCGAACTTCTGACCTCAGGTGATCCTCCAACCTGGGCCTCCCAAAGTGCTGGGATTACAGGCATGAGCCACCGCGCCCAGCCGACGGTTACATTAATCCTTCCTTTCATTTATGATCTCAGGCAAAGTGCAGGCTTGGTCGGGAGAGTAGACCCACCAGAGCTTCGATTCCAAAGCCTCCCGGGTCAGGGTCACTGCGGCAACCAGAACCCCAGCCCTCTCTCTGGTCTTGCGCTTCACTGGAGGATAGGGGCGGGGCCATGGGAGGGCGGGGCGCGGCTTCTGAAAGGCGCGGAACTGTTGTGCGAGCCTAACGCGTTGCTGCCCGGAGACTCCTGAGCCACGGTCTGGCGGCTTGCGGCCCCGGTACCGGAAGTGAGCTGTTCCGAGGCGCCGCCGGGAGTTGCCACGTCTGAGACCCGGAGCAGCCACCGCCGCAGTCATGGTGAGTGTTGGGACTGAGGAGGTCGAGCAGGGTGAAGGCCACGGTCGCGGCCCTCACTGGTACCTCAGCCATGCTGAGGCCCAAATCCCAGGCTGGCTCGTTCAGCTCCCCTACACCGCTGAGATTTGGGGGGCTCTGTCCCCGTCCTTGCGGACCGTTCGGCGGGGACTCCAGGGATAAGGCCGAGGAACCTCCCTGACTCTGCGGGGCGCGCCGTTGCCGCGTCTCCTACCAATCTCTCTTCCTTCCTTCTCTTCCGTCAACAATTGAAAACAAAACGAGGAACAGCAGAGGAGCTACTGTATACCAAGCCCTCAGCATTGTTGGCAATCTCAGCCTGCTAACAGCCTTGGGAAGAAGGTGTCATTCTTCTCAACACTTTACAGATGAGGACACTTGAGGTTCGGAGACGTGGAGCCTCTTGCACAGCTGATTAAGTGGTAGAGCCGAGATCTGAACCCTCCTAACCATTCTTTTCTGCCGCCTACTGCCTCTCCCAGCAGAGATGATTGAACAGTTGCTCGGGGTAGGGCCCCCAGGTAGGATGGGCACCACGGGAAACGTAAAGATGACCTGAACCACCCTCCGAAGGCAGGGGCTCAGGGTTTTTAAGCCTCTGTGGCATCCATTGTACATTCACTGCACACTTACTCGTTGAGTGAATGATGGAATGAATGAGAACTAACGATTGAAAGTATCTGGGCTGAGCCTGGCATATATAGTACATGCTTTCTCTTAGAAAGGTGAGTGTGCCTCAGCAGCAGGTTTGAGGGAACCTTCAGGAACCCAGAAATCAGAACACTGTGTTCTTGCTCTACAGAGGGCTAGGTGTAAATCACTCACTGCTGGTTAGAGTTGAGGGTCTTATGCTCTGACATTCAGCTTATCCTAAATGAATTTTTAACTCATTATCTTTGATTTCAAAGAGGTGAATTGTTTTGAGTGCAGGTGTTAACAGGGACCAGATAACACCAGGTGCCCAGGAAGAAGTACTCTCTCTCCCCTTCTCTGCCTCTCCTCTCCCCATCCTTCTCTCCCCATCCCTCTCCCTCCTCCCTCTCTCTCCCCCTCCCCCTATCCCCCTCCTTCTCTCTCCCCCTCTTTCCCCCTCTCCCCCTCTCCCCTCTCCTCCTCCCTCTCTCCCCCCTTTCCTCCCTACCTCCTTCCCTCTCCCTCTCTTCTCTCCCCTTCTTTCCCTCTCTCCCCTTTTCTCAAGAGGCCCTCCCTCTCTCCCCTCCCCATCTCTCTCCGTTCCTCCCCCTCCTCTCCCCCTCCCCCTCCTCTCCCCCTCCCCCTCCTTCTCTTCCTCTCCCTTTCTCTCTCTCCCAGTCCCTCTCCACCCATCCCTCTCCACCTCTCCCACTGTCTCCCTGCCTTCTTTTCTCTTCCCCTACCTCCTTTTCTCTCCCCCTTCCTCCTTCCTTCCCCAGTCTTGTTCAGAAGCATGGGTCATCAACCCTGACTGGTGGGTGAGAGTGGTTAGAACTAAATTCTGGTTATTTCTGAGGTCCTTTGGTAACCTGGTTGAAACTACCTCTCAGTAAACTTTCTTCCTGAATCTACTTATCCCTCAGCTTTGCAGAACTCAGGGTAACAGCTGCTTTACCTTCTAAAGAGGCAGCCTGGTGGAGTGAAGTTTTGTGGGCTGGGAGTTAGAAGGTTAGGGGATGGGGCTCTGCCTTTAACTAGCTCTATGACTTTGGCAAGTGCTTTCTTTGCTCTGGGCCTCTTCAGTTCCTTAGTCTGTCTTAGGGCACTGATTGACTCTGCCCTTGGTACCTGCCCTCCCCACCTTCCCATGCACTTTGTAACTTATACAGCTTGGCACATGGAGGAAACTCCTTCTAGTCCTTACTTGCCTTTGCAGACTTGGGGACCTGTTTTTTTGTTGTTGTTGTTCTTTGTTTTTTGTTTTCAAGATGGGGGTTTCACCCTGATGGCCAGGCTGGTCTTGAAGTCCTGACCTCAGGTGATCCACCCACCTTGGCCTCCCAAAGCAGGGACCTGTTTATTAGAGAGTCTAGAGTTTGATGAGAGAAGCTGTGCTTACTTGGTGTGTACCTCTTGAACTGCTTTGCAGCCATCCTCTTCCAGTGTCTGCCTTTCTGAAAACACAAGTCAAACTTCATACCTACAGGGCTTGTGCTGGAAAAGATGAAATGGGGAAAATGGTAAGAAATGTCTGTTCCACACCGAAACTTCCTTTTAAGTCCTTTTTCTATCCCAAGAATTTAAGAGAATAGTGGTTGAGCAAAGAAAAAAAATAACAGCTTTTGTTAATTTACTTATTGATTCAGCAGATAGTCACTGAGTTCCTTCTATTTGCAAAGCGCTGTGCTGGATAATTTGAGAGGATTTGAAATTGCAGATGGCTCAGACCATGGCTCCAAGGGGCTCACCTTCTAGTGGGGAGAAGAAAAAGCATAAAACATTGTATATGTTCAGTGCTGAAGATATGCAAGAGTCCAGCCATTTGAGGATCTGAGCATCTTAAAGAAGGGTGGAAGGGCAGACCTCAAAGAATGAATAGGAGAGTGATGACCATGACACCACGTTCCAGCCCTACAGACTGTTCAACCCTGGATCCCACTTGGTGATGGACCGGGGAGCAGCCTCAGGAAAACTCGAATCAAGCCTCCCAGTCTGAAGTAATAATCCTGTTATGCATTAACTGCCTGGAACATCAGAGGCCCTGTCATCCAGGAAGGGAGCATCAGCTGTAGCTCCTTTGTGGTCTCTCCTCACCCTTAAGAGTAGCCAGGACTGCTTGCCATTTCCCCACACACATCAAGCTCACTCAGACCCCTTTGTCTTTATTCGTGTATTTCCTCTGCCTGGCCACTTGGACTGGTACTGTTTTCCCTTGTGCCATCTGCAAATTCCTACTCATCAACTAAGGCCGAGTTCATGTCTACCACCCCATCCCCCTCAGTCTCCTGTAGGACATGCAGACCACAATTAAAGAATTTATCTTGGCCGGGCATGGTGGCTCACACCTGTAATCTCAACATTTTGGGAGGCCAAGGCGGGCGGATCACAAGGTCAAGAGATTGAGACCATCCTAGCCAACATGGTGAAACCCCATCTCAACTAAAAATACAAAAATTAGCTGGGCATGGTGGCACGTGCCTGTATCCCTGCTACTCAGGAGGCTGAGGCAGGAGAATCACTTGAACCTGGGAGTTGGAGGTTGAAGTGAGCCAAGATCGCGTCACTGCACTCCAGCCTGGATGACAGAGCCAGATTCCACCTTAAAAAAGAGCTTCTCAAGGGCAGAAAGTTCCTCTTATTTGTGTCTGTGTATCCAGTTCCTGGCACACTGCTTGGCAAAAAGAAGGTACTTAGAATGAATGCTTAATGAATGAATGAGTGAACAAATGCAGTCAAGAACTTGAGATGATTGTATTCTAACTGCCATCAGTTAATTTACCAGCGATATCTTTGGTTCTAGGTGTCAGTAATTAACACTGTGGATACCTCCCATGAGGACATGATTGTAAGTATTAATATCACCCTCCCTGGAGGGCTGTGGACATGGGCATTTTTGTGGGAGGGAAGCAATTGGGTTTTTCATTACCCCTTCCTGTTGCTTATTCATGGATCCAGGGTGGCTCTGCATTGGTTGCCCATCAGCCTGTAACCTCAGGGGGTATGGCTGGGCTCCCCAGCAGTGCCCTCTGAGTAGTCAGGGCTGCAGCAGTCTGGTCACTCTCTTCTGGGAGGAACCCGGGAATAATTTGTAGTTCTAGGCTCTCGGTCTTCCAGCCAACACAGTAACCTGCTCTGGGATGAAGCCTGGGTGAGTGCACAGGTTTGACAATAGACTTCCCACCTGCCTTCCTCTTCCTGTCACTTCTTGGCCCCGTTGGAAAGGGGGGTGAAAAGTAGAGAGTGTCGGAAGATGACTCAATACAAAGGCAGAAGGTGGCCACAGTGAAAGCCCCAGGCAGAGCCCAGTCAAACTACCAAGACAATATGCCAGATAAGGCCCTTTGAACCAGAGGTCTGTACTCAGGGCATTTCCTGCGAGGTAAACGTGGGGCTCAGTATAAGAGGACAGGGCTGCAGGAGAAGGTCCAGAGGATAAAGTCTACAGCAGGAAAAACTCTGCTTCATTCGGGGCCAAGCCGCCTTTGAGCAAGAGCCAGGACAGCTGACTGACAGCATTGCATGTCAGGGTTCTTGCCCTCACAACCTGTCTACCAACAGTTGCTTTGGGTTTCTGAGAGGTTGTCTGGTCCCAGAGTTGTATATGTTCTCTGGATTCAGTCACGAGTGGTCTAGCTGTAAGACCACACCTCTTTGGAGATAGCTTGGCATCATGGTCAGGAAGACCTAATCTGAGACTCCCTAACCAATATCTTAACTATTCTGAGCTAGCCTCACTTATGGGAAAAATAATGGATGTGCTATCTATTTGTATGAGTTTGGTTTGAGAAACAGATGAGGCAAAGTAGTAATGACAAACATTTGTATGCTTACTGAGTGTCAGGCCCCATGCTAAGTACTTTTCACTCAATATCTTGTTTAACCTTCGTAACAACCCTTGAAACAGATGCTGTCATTAGCCTTATTTAAACATAAGGGAACTAAGGCCATAGGATGTTGGTAAATAATAAAGATAAGGAAACTGAAGCTCAAGGAGATGAAGTAGTTTCAACAGTTGCACAGCAGGTAAGCTAAGGAGATAGGATTTAGATCTGTAAGGTACTTTGTCCTGCCTCCTTCCACTGAGAAACATAAGAAGTGCTTCAGAAACACCCCTGTGCTGCCTGCCTTCCAAGAAACAAGCCCTGATACAGTGGAGGGAGTTCCCAAAGAAGAATCCGGATGTGTTCCCTGCTTAGGGAGGTGACAATTTCCATCTGAGGCAGACAGAATGAGTGCCTTTGGGCACAATTGCTCCTGGTGGCCATGGGAGTGCAGCTGATAGTCCTGAAACTCCCAGGGTGAGACAGCTAGGGAAAGTGACATCCATTGGAATAGGCAGGGCTAGCAAGCAGGAGGGACCAGGGTGTTCAGTGGGGCAGGGGGCATGGTGCCTCCGAGACTGTCACCCCGTGGACAGGAATCTGCAGGCAGAGGCCAAGCCTAATTCTGCATGCTCAGTCAGCGTCAAGGAATTCGGTTCACAAGTGGTAAGACCAGCGACTCTTAAGGCATTGTGTTCCTTGGGTGGGGAAGTCTGGGAAGCTCTGGGCACACTACTGGAGAAAAGGTCAAGCAGAAACCCCAAAACAAAGGGTCACAAAGGATCCAGGGCCAGGACTGGAAGAAAAAACCCAAATATCTGAATGGAATCCTGTGTCCAGGCCAGCGCTATATCACAGAGGACCTGACTAGGGACTCCAGGCAGTCAGAGGCCTACTCCCATTCATTAGCATCAGGTGCTGGGGATGAGCCAAACCCAGGGGTATGCCCTTCAGCTACAGAGCCTAAGAGTAGAGTGGGGCCTGAGAGGATGGAGGAAGAAGAGGGCAGCTAGGCCAGCTTTTTTTCTCCCATACCCACCCTGTGGAACAGGAATGGAAGGGCCCTTCCCTGAGGTAGGCCAGGTGGGTGTGGCTTGCTTGTCCCTTTCAGAAAGACACTGCCCATTAGCGAAGCGAGAATGTCCACATGCTAGCTTCCTGCCTGAGGGTGATGATTCTTTGAGATTAGATCGGGGAGATTCTGGTCTGAACTAGAGTCTGTGTGGTCACGGCCCTCACCCCATCCACCCACCCAGCCAGCAGGCTTCCCAAGCTGTCCTCCTTTTGCAGCACGACGCCCAGATGGACTACTATGGCACCCGCCTGGCAACCTGCTCATCAGACAGATCTGTCAAAATCTTCGATGTGCGCAATGGAGGGCAGATCCTCATCGCTGACCTCAGGGGGTAAGTGCTGGCTAGCCCAGGGAAGGGCTCCAGGAATGGTCTGGACTTACAGGCCCTACTTCAAGCATGGGAGCTCAGATTCAGAGCAACCCCAAAGCACATTTAGTGGAGAGGACGCTGGGATCTCAGCCAGCCTGGCTGTCCTCAGCTGAAATCCCCAGGGGTGATGCAGTTAAGGGCACAGGTGGATGCAGGTGTGAATCTCAGCTCTGCCACTCTTATATGTAGCCACTAGAAGACCTTGGGCAAGTGAGTCAGTTTCTCTCTCTGAGTCTTTATCTGCTTACCCTCAAAACTGGGCCAGTGCTACCTCCTCAGCTAGTACATGCAAGGCCCTGACACAGGCCCAAGCACACAGTAAGTCTTCAGTGCAGGCAGCTACTGCTGCTTTTAAAAATGGTGAGCAGTGAGCCAAGATGATGCCATTGCACTCTAGCCTGGGCGACAAGAGCGAAACTCCATCTCAAAAAAAAAAAGTGGTAAACAGTATCATTTCGTGCAAGTTTAGCCAATATGACCTAAATTGTTACAAAAGCATTGCTGTAAGAAGAATTAGAGAATGCCATCATCATTTTATAAATCCCATTTTTCTGCCTATTTGCCTGGGGCAAATGTTCAGTGATTATTTACAAATGTTTGACCTCCCTGCTCCCTCCTGAGATTCTTGAGGAAGTCCTGGCTCATTTTTATGGCCACATCTCTACTGCTTTCCCTCAGGTCACTGCCTTTCACATGTTTGTGGGTTTGCCTGGGTGCCGTGGATCTCCATGGGTTCTGTCAGAATTCAGGGGTTGATAATTGGGACAAGGAAAAAATTACATCTATTTTCAGTGACTGACATTTAGCATTTCTTTCTATTATGGATGTAGGCCAGAAACTCTAGTAGTATTGGTAGTGCCTGTCACCTTGTCACCAGTAGAAGTCACAGATACTGTCATCATACATCACAGTTACTTAGCTACCTCAAAATATCACTTATGCTCATCACAACTTTGAAATTACACTGGTTACTAGAGCTGCTGCTAGAGTTTGTTGCTTCAAGTGTGAACAGAGAAGTACATGCATCACTGTCTCATTGCTTTATAATACTTTGATAACAGGCTGGGCAAGGTGGCTCACGCCTGTAATCCTAACATTTTGGGAGGCTGAGGTAGAAGGATGGCCTGACCTCAGGAGTTTGAGGCTGCACTGAGCCATGGTGGTCCCACTGCACTCCAGCCTTGGTGACGGAGTGAAACCCTTCTCAAAAAAAGTTGATTACTGTATAATTTATAATGGAGTTTTCTTTATGAGCCTAGTTCTATGTGTTTTGTGCATTATTCTGAGAGACGGTCCATAACCTTCCCCAGAATGCACAGGAAAGATTAAGAGCCTTGTCAGGTATGTGCTCAGTATGTGTGTGTTAACTGAACTAAAAAACGTAAACTAAGTCAGCATCCATTTAGGGAAATGGGCTTAGAAGCTCCCCTCTGTCTGAGTGTCAAATGATGAGGTGACTGAGAAGCCAAATGAGGCTTCTCTATGCAGGAGCCCCCGGGCAGGCAGAGAGCTGCTACTGTGCAACTTTTGGCCAAGCCAGTTATGTTTGCTGTGACTGTCCTTCCTGCTGTTTTTCTTATGTTCAAAGGATGTGAAATATTGGAGGAATTAAAAAAAAAAATTCCCACCCCATTCTTTTTTTGTGTAAGTTAAAACTGTGCTAGTTGTTGGAAGTTTGGGTCTACTCACAATTTCGTTAGCGGCACCTGTGTAGGGACTGGGAAAGTCCTGTTGTCCCAGCCAGAGGGAAGCGGAGACTGGATTGTGTGCAGCCCCAGGGTGAAGGAGTAAACCAGGAGCAGCACTAATAGCTAATGGGTATTGAGCGGCTTTTTTCTTTCCTTCTACCAAGCGTTATTCCAAACTCTACCTAAGTCATCACAAATATTTAACCCTCATGATCGCCTTATGAAAGAATTCTTATTAATATCTCCATTTTCAGGTAAAGAGACAAAGATGTCCTTGCCTAAAGTCAAGCACTAGTGAATGGAGAGTGGGTCTGGTCTCCTAACTACTAACTCTACCATGCTACTCTACCTCTTGAGTGCTAAGGTGCATACCCTTCCCCAGGCCAGAGAAATGGTCCCTGTACAAAGCCTGGCACAAAGCATGTGCTCAGATAGTACCTGTTATCAGGTGAATGGGTAAAGATCAGAAGAGAAAACAAAGATGTGCTTTCTGAGCAAATTAAAATAGTGGAGAATATCAAAATGAAACCGATAATGCTTCCTCGAGAAGCTGACCATCAGGAAGGATGAATAGCAATTCAGTCTACAAATACTTCCTGAGCACCTATGGCTGGAAACCCTGGACCAGTTAATGACTATGCTGTAGACAGTGCTGGCTGCCATCTGGGCAAGTGAGGCTCCTGCCTGGCCCAGACAGGAAGACTGACCCAGAGGCTTGACTATCTCTCAAAGGCTCTGTGACCTTAGGTTCCTGAACCTCTTAGGACCTCGGGTTCCTCACTGTCCACTGAGCATCCCTTTGGAAATGCCATTGTATAGCTCTCCCTTTAAAGTTCTTAAGCAATTCTGCCCTGAGATATCTCAGGGAGCCATTTAGTTCTGTCCAGAGTAGTGCCTACAGAAGCACTGTGGTTTCCTATGGCCATGTGAGCAGCCTCTCACCCTCTCCCTTTGCAGTCATGAGGGTCCTGTGTGGCAAGTGGCCTGGGCTCACCCCATGTACGGCAACATCCTGGCATCGTGCTCCTATGACCGGAAAGTCATTATCTGGAGAGAGGAAAATGGCACCTGGGAGAAGAGCCACGAGCATGCGGGACACGACTCCTCAGGTACGCTGAGCACAGCAGCAGAGCAGGCGAGGGACCACTGGCTAAGAAAGGACTGTCCTGGTTGCAGCCCTGGCTCCCTGCCCCTCATGGTGCCTCTTGTCTGTCCCTTGAGCTTTGGTTGGCTTTTCTGCTAGTCTGTCCACAGCTGAGTAAAGCCCTAAGACCGACAGCCAGTCCAAAGCAAGTAAGAAAAGTAAAGACAAAGTAAGAACAGTAAACACAATAAAAGAAAAGTTTTTCTGAGTAAAAGTCAGAAACCCGAGTTTCTCTTCAGGTTTATTCATTTTAAGGACTCTCCTTCATTCTTAGATTGTTGTCCTACCCACTTTTTTGTTAGATAGCTGTAGGTGATGAAATCATGATATTAGTGGGTGATAGGGTTTTTTTTCCAGTGTCCTCAGTTGACCAAATTCCAGCTTCTCCCTGGTGACCCCTACAGTTGTTTTAGAAATTTAGTAAATCTGTGGAAGGCAGGACCTGGGGCTGCAGTCTCCCTGTTTTGCTCATTGCGTTCTCCCTCTTCCTGCAGTGAACTCGGTGTGCTGGGCCCCCCATGACTACGGCCTGATCCTGGCCTGTGGGAGCTCAGATGGGGCCATTTCCCTGCTGACTTACACCGGGGAAGGCCAATGGGAAGTAAAGAAGATCAACAATGCTCACACGGTGAGTCCAGCCCCTGCCTTTCGTGCTTGCCCTATGTCTGGTGCTGACTCCCTAGAGGGCAGCGGTGGAGGGGAGGTGTGGGCCTGCTGTGCACTGGGCCAGGGAGGGGTCAGCTGACCAGAGATGATTGCTGTAGAGCAGCTTTGAGCCTCTTTGCTCTGAAGCCAGACCAGGCTGCACCGGCCTCATTCAGCCCAGGCAGGGCTTGGCACTGGTTGCTTGTCATGTGCTCCCAAGCAAGGGAGGGCTGGGCACCAGGAAGGTGCAGCAGCAGCCTGCTCACCTGCCACCTTAGCTATGGCTGCTTCCAGTGACATGCCCTGCAGTAGTCATTGGGACGCTGTAGAATGGAGTGGGGTTATTAAAATAAAAAAGTATGTGAGCCATGCACACATTTAAGAAAGATGAGTATAAACAAGGTCATTCTTTACCCAACTTTTGGTGACTCGATGAGTGACAGCGGTGGTGATGGTGGTGGTTCAATCGAGGAATGTTTGCAAAGGGAACATCAGTGTCCTACCTCCTACCACCACACAGTGGTAGTGTTAATGTTCGCAACAATAACCAATGTGCGGGACTCACATGAGCACTTTAATACCACATCGTTTGCTGTCATCCATCTGGATGATTATTGGATATTTTATGAGTTTTTGTTCTACAATAATTTGTATTTTTTTGTTGTTGTTTTTGTTTTTTGAGACAAGAGTCTTGCTCTGTCACCCAGGCTGAAGTGCAATGGCACAATCTCAGCTCACTGCAACCCCTGCCTCCTGGGTTCAAGCAGTTCTCCTGCCTCAGCCTTCTGAGTAGCTGGGACTACAGGCACACACAACCACACCCAGCTAATTTTTGTATTTTTAGTAGCGATGGTCTCCATCTCTTGACCTCGTGATCCGCCCACCTTGGCCTCCCAAAATGCTGGGATTACAGGCGTGAGCCACCACACCTGGCCTTATTTATCCTTTTTCTAATCTACTCATTCTAGTTTAGGGTCACAGGTGGCTGGAGTCTGTCCTGGAAGCTTAGGGTGTGAGGCATAAGCCAGCCCTGGACAGGGTACCATTCCACCAGGGGAGCACTCACACACCCCCACACTCACACTGGGACAACAAATGTACCAGTGAAGCAAACATGCACATCTTTAGGGTGTGAAAGGAAACCACAGTACCAGGAGAGAGCCTCCACAGACACAGAGAGAACATGCAGACTCCACAAAGGCAGAGGCCCCTACTGGGAATTGTGTTTTTGTCTTGTCAACATTGTATTGAAGTGACTTTGAGAATCAGTTGCACATAGAATCAGACAATCTGTGGTCTTTTGTGACTGGCTTATCCTACTTAGCATAATGAGTTCAAGTTTCATCCGTATCATAGCGTGTGTCAGCACTCCATTTTTATGGCTGGATAATACTCTACTGTGAATGTAGACATTTTGTTTATCCATCAGATGATGAATGTTCTCGGCTTTATGAATAATGCTGCTATAAACATTTGCAGATAAGTTTTTGCATGAACATATGTTTTTAATTCTCTTGGGTCTATACCTACATGTGAAATTGCTAAATCATATGGTTATTCTATGTTTAACTTTTTGAGGAACTACTAAATTGTTTGCAAAGTAACTGTACCCTTTACATTCCCATCAGCAGTGTATGAGGGTTCTAATTTCTTCATATCCTCATCATTTTGATTACAGCTATTCTGGTGAATGTGAGGTGGTAGTATCTTATTGTAATTTTTTGTGTTTGGTTTCGTTTTTTGAGACGGAGTTTGCGCTGTCTCCCAGGCTGGAGTGCAGTGGTGCCATGTCAGCTCACTGCAACCTCTGCCTTCCAGGTTTAAGCATTTCTCATGCTTCAGCCTCTCGAACAGCTGGAATTACAGGCACACACCAAGACACCCGGCTAATTTTTGTATTTTTAGTGGAGACAGGGTTTTACCGTGTTGCCCAGGTTGGTCTCAAACTCCTGGCCTCAAGTGATCAGCCCACCTCGGCCTCCCAAAATGCTGGTATTACAGGCATGAGCCACCGCATCCGGCCCTTATTGTGATTTTGATTTGCATTTTGCTAATCAAAGATGATGGCTGAGCATCTTTTGGGGGCCGTATTGGCCATTTGTATATCTTTGGAGAAATGACTGGGAGGGGTTTTGCACTCTGTAACACTTGAGTACGTGCAAGCAGCCCACAATAAAAAAGCTGATGGGCGGGGAGAAATCTGACCTTTATGATCCTCCAGAGCAAGCTTCAGGGACAGAGCCCCTCAGGAGGAGAAACTGCTGGAAATGAAATCACAGTTGAGCTGGATAGTGACACAGGAAAGGAAGGGGAACAGAGCCAAGAACTCCTGAAAGGCAGCTCCCACGCCTTTTAACACCACACAGAAATGAGGGAGAGTTTTGAGCTTAGACTTTCCTGAGCCTTTTTAACCAGGAAAACTCATCTCAGCTAAAAACAACAGAAAAGTGGTTGAAGTGAAATTGCATATAAAGGTATATAAGAAATAAGAATATGCACAATAACCTCCCTGTGGATAATGAGAGCACATCAAGCTGTACCCCACTATTTCAAATCAAGCCAAGTGACACTCTAAAAATGCAAAACATGAGAAAATAGTGTAAATCAACATTTTAAAAATGAGAAATATCAGGTGAAAGAACTCAGGAAAATATCAAAAATATTTCAAAAGTAAAAACTAAGTTAAAATGCAAGTGTCAATAATCACAGCAGATCATGCTGGAAAGGACAGACTGTGTGAAAAAGGAAACGTTTCAAGAGTGAAAAATGAAGAGGTAAAAAGGTTTTGAGCAAAAGTAAAGACAGGCAGAAAGGTCAAACGTATGAATACCAGGAGTCCCTAGAAAGGAAAACATAACAAATACCAAAAAGTAATCCAGAAAACTTTCTTAAAATTACAAAACAAAGATTTGAAACTGGAGATTAAGAAATCATCTACACTTAACAATATCAAGGCCAGGCATGGTGACTCAGCCTGTAATTCTAGCACTTTGGGAGGCTGACGTCGAAGGATTGTTTGAGGCCAGGACCTGGCCAACATAGTGAGACCCTGTCTCAAAAAAAAAAAAAAAAATCAATCCAGCATCACCAACAAAAAGATGTAGTTCTAGTAAAATTATTAGACTTTAAAGAAAACTTTGGGGGTTCTAAGAGAAAAGGAACCTTGTGACTTAAAGGGGAAAGACAATTAGATTACTGTCAGACTTTTCAATAGTAAGGATTGGTGCAGAAGAAAAAGGAATAACATGTTTAAAATATTCAAGGAAAGAAAGTGTGACCCAAGGATTTACAACCAGGAAAACTGACTTTCAAGTTCACACAAAGACTTATACACAAAAGTTCATAGCAGCTTTAATAGCCAAAAACTGGAAATAATCCACATGTCCATCAGCAGGTAAATGATAACTTGTGATGTATCCATACTCCGGAAATACTGCAACAAAAAAAAGAAATGACTTAATAAGAAGATGAATAAATTTCAAAATAATTATGCTGGCTAGGCATGGTGGCTCATGCCTGTAATCCCAGCACTTTGGGAGGCTGAGGCAGGTGGGTCATCTGAGGTCAGGAGTTCAAGACCGGTCTAACCAACATGATGAAACCCTGTCTCTACTAAAAATACAAAAAAAAATTAGCCAGGCATGGTGGTGCATGTCTGTGATTTCAGCGACTCAGGAGGCTGAGGCAGGGGAATCACTTGAACCCAGGAGGCAGAGGTTGCATTGAGCCACTATCATGCCACTGCACTCCAGCTTGGGTGACAAAGCGGGACTCCGTCTCAAAAAAATAATTATGCTGAGAAAAAAAAAAAAAAAGGATATACTATGATTCCACTGCTGTAAAATCTAGGAAATGCACACTCTCCTGAGCAGGCCCATGGTCAGCAAGATTGGGGGCTGAGGATGGAGAGAAGGATTAACAAGGAAGAATCCAAGGAAACTTATGGTAATGAGGGGCATGTTACTTATCTTAATTGAGGTGATGTCATGATCCTACAGGGTATATTTTTGTCAAAATTCACCAAATCATGCACTTTATATGCAGTTTATGACAATTATACATATCAAAGCTGTTTTTAAAATTAGCTTTCACATATAAAGGATATAAACTATTATCAATATGCAAGAATTCAGGGATTGTTGTTTCCAGCAGCCCTTCCTGAGGAATCTACTAGAGGATACGTGTCACACAACAAAAATGACTACAAAGACTTCAGCATAAATATATAGTTACTTGTAGAGAACTAAGACGAAATGAGAGTTAAAAGGCCAGACACAGTGGCTCACACCTGTAATATCAGCACTTTGGGAGGCTGAGGCAGGCGGATCACCTGAGGTCAGGAGTTTGAGACCAGCCTGGCCAACATGGCAAAACCCCATGATGTGGTTTGGCTGTGTCCCCACCTAGATCTCACCTTGAATGCCCACGTGTTGTAGGGAGGACCTGATGGGAGGTGGTTGAGTCTTGGGGGCAGGTCTTTCCGATGTTGTTCTCTTGATAGTGAATAAGTCTTACAAGATCTGATGGTTTTATGAGGAGTTCCCCTGCACGGTCTCTCTTTGCTGCCATCCATGTGAGATGTGACTTGTTCCTCCTTGCCTTCTGCCATGATTGTGAGGCCTCCCCAGCCATGTGGAACTGTGAGTCCATTAAACCTCTTCTTTTTTTATAAATTGTCCAGTCTCAGGTATGTCTTTATCAGCAGTGTGGAAATGGACTAATACACCCCATCTCTACTAAAAATACAAAAATTAGCCAGGCGTGGTGGCACATGCCTGTAATCCCAGCTACATAGGAGACTGAGGCAGGAGAATCACTTGAACCCAGGAGGTAGAGTTTGCAGTGAGCCAAGATTGTGCCTCTGCACTCCATTCTGAGTGACAGAGCCAGGCTCTGTCTCACAAAAAGAGGCAGTGGCCCATACCTGTAATCCCAGTACTTTGGGAGTCCAAGGTGGGAGATCACTTGAGCCTAGGAAGTTTGAGGCTGCAGAGAACCATCATTGTAGCACTGTACTCCAACCTGGGTGACAGTGAGCCCCTGTCTCAATTTTTTTTTTTTTTAATTGTTAATGAAGAGAAGGAGAATCAGTCATCTTTGGAGAATGATGGAACCAATTCATGAAGACTCAGGCATTTATCCAGCCTTTCCTCTCTGTCCTTGTATTAGTCCCTTTTCATGCTGCCAATAAAGACATACCCGAGACCAGGCAGTTTACAAAGGAAAGAGGTTTAATGGAGAACACTCAGTTCCACATGGCTGGGGAAGCCTCACAATCATGGCAGAAGTCAAGGAAGAGCAAGTCTCATCTTACATGGATGGCAGCAGGCAAAGAGAGAGCTGGTGCAGAAAAGCTCCCATTTTTAAAATTGTCAGATCTCACGAAACTTATTGACTATCACAGAACAGCATGGGAAAGACTTGCCCCCATTATTCAGTTACCTCCCACTGGGTCCCTCCCATAACACGTAGAAATTCAAGATGAGATTTGGGTAGAGAGATAGCCAAACATATCAGACCTCTACCCCTGGGTAACTGAATAGTTAATGAGGAGAAGCACCCCTATCTGGAGCATTCCATGGAATAAATGACAAAGAAAGGATAGAATTAGAGTATCACCATTTTGCAAGCCCCAGTGAATTAAGAGAGGCCTGAGTTATTGACAGCTGTTAATATAAAAGACAATCTAACGTACCTCCTAATGAGAGAACACACCAGCTGTAGTCTTGCCAAAGGGATCACACCTGATTCTGTCTGGTCTTGGCTCTAGCTGACAGTTTTCAGGAATTCAGAGGAAGATACTGAAACTGCGTATGTGCCAGCAAAACCCAGATCGAGAGACTAGACTCTTCAGCAGAAAAATTGTAAGGAAAAAAATCAGAGGAGGAATCTGCAAAGTAGGAGATGTAAAAAAACATCCAAAAAATGTTTAATGGGCAAGACTGTCGTGATAAAATGGGGGAAATGGATTCGATGCACATTTGGGTGATAAAATGGGGAAAATGGATTCGAAGTCAGGGCAGTGGTTACTTACACAGTGGGTGAGGGACTGATTAGGAAAGGATGTAATGACAGGGCTTTTCAGGCAGGTGGCAGAATTTTTGTTTCTTGATCTATTTCTCTATAATGAAAGATTTTTCTAAAAAAAAAAAAAAAGCCCCAATGTACCATTCTTTCATGTGTTTAAAAAAATGTCCTGTTTCTTAAATCTGTGGGAGTTCCTAATTTCTACTTCTAGTGCATACTGCAGAAAAATGCCCATACTGTTGGGATCTTTGAGGGAGAATTCTGAGCAGTGGACCACATGATGAGTGCTCATGCCAGCCTTCACACACAGTCCAGTCCTGAGAACCGGAGGGGAGAGGGACAGCAGCCTTGGGTCTGCAGAAGCAGTGTTCGCTTCAAAGGCACAGTCACATGTGTCCCATCTTTATAGATTGGCTGCAATGCCGTCAGCTGGGCCCCTGCTGTTGTACCTGGAAGCCTCATAGACCAGCCATCGGGGCAGAAACCCAATTACATCAAGAAGTTTGCATCAGGTGGCTGTGACAACCTCATCAAGCTGTGGAAGTAAGTAGCGTTGTGCAGCCTTCTCTTTGCGGGGGACACTTCTTTACCCTACTCACCATGACTCAGCCATGCTCACAAGAAACAATTTACCTTTCCTTCTCTCTGCTGCCAGTAAAATACTGTTTTCAATCTGTCAGAAGACATCCTTTAAAAAAAACACAGCCGGGTGCAGTGGCTCACACCTGTAATCCCAGCCTTTGGGAGGCCAAGGCAGGTGGATCACCTCAGGTCAGGAGTTCAAGACCAGCCTGGCCAACATGGTGAAACCTCGTCTCTATTAAAAATACCAAAAATTAGCCAGGCATAGTGGTGGACACCTGTTATCCCATAATCCCAACTACCAGGAGGCTGAGAGAGGAGAATTGCTTGAACCTGGGAGGTGCGGTGAGCCAAGATCACGCCATTACACTCCAGTCGGGGCAACAAGAGCAAAAACTCCATCTCAAAAAAAAAAAAAAAACATCTTTCACCCAATTCCCAACTGTTGAAGCTGACACTGGCCGTGGAAGCCAAGTGTTTCCTGGAGGGTTTTGTTTTTTTTTTTTTTTTTTTTTACAGCTGGAGTGAATGGAATAAAATGCCATGAACTCCATGAATGAAATAAGAAAGATGGAATCAGTTCTTCACCCCAGGCAGAGCCTGTCGGGCTGGGGAGTAGTTGGAGTGTGGGAAAGGCCCAGGGCAGCTCCCTGCTGATTCATTCTCCCTCTGTTCCCCTCTGTTAGGGAGGAGGAAGACGGCCAGTGGAAGGAGGAACAAAAGCTGGAAGCGCACAGTGACTGGGTTCGAGACGTGGCCTGGGCCCCCTCCATCGGCCTGCCCACCAGCACCATCGCCAGCTGCTCCCAGGTCAGCCCAGGGCCATGAGAGCATCTCTTGTCATTTAGTCTCTAGTCCATCAGACTAAAGTCTTCTTAGCAGAAAGTCCTCAGGGAAGGTAAAGGGAGAGCAACAGGCACCTTTGGCCCAGAGCACAGGGAGTCAGGTTATTGTGTGGGGAAGTCTTGGTCAGAAGTCACAAGTGGCCTGCCTCCGCCAAGATGAGACAACTACAAGAGAACCAACACCAAGAAGGAGGTGGATTTGGGATGAATTTTCTCTCCTGACTCTTGTGAGACTAGGGAGTGGAGGTGCCCAGGTGCAGTTCCGCGTGTTCCCAAGGCAATGATTAAAGTGATGGAGCCATCCTTCCCAGACAGCAAGGAAAGCCAAGGGTGAGCCTTCAGTTATACGCCACCACACTAGAGGGAGCCAGCTAGGCTTTTCACATCATAGGAACCTCTTTGGTTTGGTTCTAGATGTGAGATTTTTGTGCTTTTTTACTTGTACCTTCTTATTCTCTGAGTTTGGTTTTCGGAGAGCTCTGCCCATTCAGTTGAGAAGTATAGACAGCCAGTGAAGTGACTTGGGAGGCATGAGGAAAACCCCCGAGAAAATCTGAGCAGTGCAGACAGAGTACACCTCTGAAACCCGGATGAGAAAAGGAATGTGGGAGACCCTTATCTCTTCCCACTGGTCAAGAATCTCCCAGATTCCTTTTCTGAGATGCCCCAGAGGTCCTTGGCCCCCCTTTGAATCCCCTACCTTGTTCCTGCAGAGAGGTGCTGCGTGGCTGTAGATTTGGAGGACATCACAAACACAGGAGTCTTGCCACCATCTCCTGACTCTAGCCTGTCTCTTCCTAGGATGGTCGTGTGTTCATTTGGACCTGTGATGATGCCTCAGGCAATACGTGGTCCCCCAAATTGCTGCACAAGTTCAACGATGTGGTGTGGCATGTGAGCTGGTCCATCACAGCCAACATCCTGGCCGTCTCCGGTGGAGACAATAAGGTACACACCCATTCCCCATGGCAGGGTGGACAGGGGCCTCTCCTACCAGAGAGCACACTGGACATGCCCATCTGACTGCAGGCAGGCAAGGAGCCTTAGCCAGGACTGCATTTTGAGTTTGCTTCTTGGTTACATCATTAATGTCACAGCCCATGAAGTAGTATTAACATGTCCCTGTTTCACAGATGGGGAAAGAAGGTAGCAGGCAATCTGACTTGCATAGGGGTCCCGAAACTCTGAGGCGGCAGAGTCAGTCAGGCCCCTCACCCTAACCATTTGGTCACCTCATGGTGATGTTCAGTTAGTTGTGCCAAAAAAGTAAGTGTATAAGAAAAAGAACCCATAAACAAAAGCAAGAAGATTAAGGATCTTTTAAAGGCTATTTTTAAAAAATCTGTACAGTTTGTGAATACTTATGCTGGTAAGAGGTAGGTACACAGTGGGTGCATTGAAACAGTTTCAGTTTTGCAGCTGAAAAAGTTCTGGAGACCAGCTACACAGGGATACAAATGTACTTCACACAACTGGACTGTGCAGTTAAAAATGGCCAAGATACACAGTTCATGAACAGCGGGGACCTCGTGGAAAAAAAAGTTTTATGTTCTGTATTTTACAATTAGAAGGAAAAAAAGCTACCCGCAGAAAGGAAGCAGTAACAAGCTACAGCCATCTGCCCAGCTGAATTCCCCTGTAAGACAGGGGTCTCTAACATCATAGGGTCAGTTCCACATAGAGTGGCTGTGCTGTGTTTTTCAGCACCTCTACTCTGCATCTGAAGCGCAAGTCAGTGCGGATCATGCCGGCCCTTGCTGCTGCTCTCCCTTGCCTGTGTTGGTCTTTTACTGTTTCCCAGTGTCCACTTTGGCTCCATGTCTTACCTTTCATTTGCGTGCTCAGCATAACCAACAACATAGGCAAGGCAGAGAAGCAGCTGGTCTTAGAACTCTTTTCAGCTGCAAAATTGAAACTGTACCCATTAAATAACTCCCTTCCCCAGCCCTGGCAGCCACCCTTCTCCTAAGTGGAATCATACAATATTTGTCTTTTTGCAACTGGGTTGTCACTTAGCAGTATGCCCTTAAGGTTCATCCATGCTGTAAGCAGAATATGTCAGAACTCCTTCCTTTGTAAAGCTAGATACTGTTGCATTGTATGGACAACCACATGCTGTTTCTACACTCATTCCTCCACCAATGGGTGCCTGGGCTGCTGCCACCTCTTGCTATTGTGAATAGTGCAGGTGGGAACATGGGAGTGCAGATCTCTCTGAGAGCCTCTGCAGGCAGCTTTTCTGGTCAAAGGTCCCTTTGATCTACAGTAGTTCCAGAAAGATCTAGGAGCCCCCCTCTCAAAGCCATATTTCTAGGGAATGCCAAAGTCAGGACTAGAACCCAGGTTTGATGGCACTCAAGACAGACCAAGGGTCCTAGATTGCTTCGAGCAGGCCCACAGTGATTTTCACAAGGCTGTAACCAAGTGCCAGGCTGTACACTGCAACGTTTGCGGTCCCCATCACTATGCATTTAGGCTTCTTGCTTTTTCCTTATCAGCCTATATCCTTTTGCTGTCTCCATAGCACCCTTAGCTAAAGGACTTAGTATGTTTTCAGTCTCAGTATTCTGCAGTGTGTTTAGTGAATAAAGTTTGTCCCTAAAGCAGGAGTTATTAAAAAATTTTTTGAGACAGTTTGCTCTTGTTGTCCAGGCTAGAGTGCAATGGCATGATCTTGGCTCACTGCAACCTTTGCCTCCTGGGTTCAAGTGATTCTCCTGCCTCAGCCTCCTGAGTACCTGGGATTACAGGTGCCCAGCACCACACCCGGCCGTGTGCTGTTATATACACACACACACACATTAGTAGAGACAAGGTTTCACCATGTGGGTGAAACTCCTGACCTTCAGGTAATCCATCTGCTTTGGCCTCCGAAAGTGCTGGGTTTATAGGCATGAGCCACTACACCTGGACAAAATCATTTTCAATCAAACTAATATATGTATATAGCTTTAGATTTTTGATTCTGGTTTTTGAGACAGTTTTGCTCTGTCATCCAGGCTGAAGGGCAGTGGTGCAATCTCGGCTCACTGCAACCTCTGCCTCCTGGGCTCGAGCGATTTTCCTGCCTCAGCCTCTCCAGTAGCTGGGATTTCAGGTGCCCACCACCACACCTGGCCAATTTTTTTTTGTATTTTTAGTAGTGATGGGGGTTTCACCATGTCGGCCAAGCTAGTCTCAAACTCCTGACCTCAGGTGATCCACCCATCTTGGCCTCCCGGAGTACTGGGATTACAGGCATGAGCCACCACGCCTGGCCTAGATTTATTTTTTTTATTAATGCAGCCTCTTTTCACTCTCCAGGGGCAAACCGTTTCAGCTCTTAGCTATTTCTTATATAGTTTACCTCAGTGTAGAAACATATTGATCCATTACCTTCCTCTACCACGGGTTTTCAAACTGCAGTGTTGTTAAACCTGTTAAAACAGATTGCCAGCCCCACCCCCAGAGCTGCTTAATCAGTTGTTTCAGGACCCAAGCATCTGCAACTGTAGCAAGGTGACTGATCTGGGACCACACTTTGCAAACCCTCCTCCCTGCCACCCCATAGCCTCTCACTGTAGCTCTGTCACAGTTTAGTGAAAATAGCATCCTGTGTTGACATCATCCAAAGCTGCTGTTATTGTTACGCCTTCCTTTCGGTGAGTTTTTATTCCTTCTCATTTTGGTGGGATTTCAGTGGAGGAGGGACATGCTCTGTTCACCTACAAGCCTCTGAGCAGTGGTTCTTGATGGGGATGAGGCTCTCATTTAGGGGACCCAGTGCAAAGGGGACAGCAGAGGGAGGGGCACAGACCCGTGACAGTCTGCTTGTGCCCTGACTTGCAGGTGACCCTGTGGAAGGAGTCGGTTGACGGGCAGTGGGTGTGCATCAGTGATGTCAACAAGGGCCAGGGCTCCGTGTCAGCATCAGTCACAGAGGGCCAGCAGAACGAGCAGTGACAAGACAGGTGGGGCCTGGCTCCCCACCCGCCAGCTCCAGGACTGCCCCTTCCTGGGCCAACTGACCAAACAATTGGGAAAAGCCCCCAACTCCAACAGGATCATTTTCCCAGGAGGAGTTACAGATGCAGCCACAGATTGATCATCTGCCTTAACATGATCAGAGATTCAGAGATGCTTTGTAATTTACTGTCCAGCTGAAAGCACTCATGAGGAAGAAACTACAAATGATATTCAAATCTATTTTAAACTATTTTGGGCCATTTTTATGTAACTTTGGGTTCAGGCATTATTTGGGGGGTTTTGTTTCCAAAGTAACTAATAAAGTCATATTGCTTATAACTCCTGCTGCGTTATCCTAAGCACTCCTCACCCCACCCCACCAGCTCAGTTTGACTCATAGGTCAACATTCACAAGGACCACGGCTGTGATGGCCTGGCTCCACCCTACCCACAAAGGTACCTTGTCACTGTGTGAGCATCTCTTTGAGTCAGTTTATATTGAAAGCACCATACAGAGCACTGAACTCCTCAGCCTTTGGGGACAAGGATTGTAGCCCTGGATCTGCTACTTACCCTCTCCATACATATCCTCTTCTGTGCAATGTGACTAATACAGTCTGCTCTACAGAATGGCTGCAAGACTCAAATGAGCTAGCGCATCTGGTGACCCACAAAATGCCACGCAAATGCAAGGTGATATGTACCGAACACCAATAGGTAAGAGGCTGGTCTGGAAAGTGGGCACAATTCATTCAGTTTACTGACCCTGTCAAGGAAAGGAGGCCCCCATGAGGGGAGACCTAACTAACCGTAAACCAGGTACAACCTCTCAGCAGAGGCCCTGTGACCCTGACAATCACTATAGCCATCACTCAGTCTGCTGTGAGCCAGACACTACACTGGATCTTTCACACATTCACTAATTCAAGCAACACAAGAACCCTGTGTGGGTGTCCCCAGTTCACTGATGAAGTGCTCAGAAGGCAGAAGCCCTGCCCAGGACCGTGCACTGCCAAGCAGTAAAACCAGCGTCTGGGCCTGGCCCATCTCAGGAGTTACTCCCCACTGTAGCATCAGGGTGTGAGTTGGGGGGCTCCTCAGCTATAATCCAAGGATGCTTCTCATACCAACACTTGTATAAACAGACCCAGATAAAAGGTCAGGCCCCTCACCTCAGGACCCCCTATTTGTCCTTCCCTCCTTTTTCAACAGCCAAATCCTTTTTTAAAAAACTGAATCTTTGATCATACTATGTAACATGGAAAAAAGTGAAACTGCTTTGGTTAAAGGTGAGGATAGAGAGGCCATGGCACAGCCCAGTCATCTTCCCAAGTCTCTCCACAAAACTCAGAAGATCTCCACTTCTGAGACCAACATAAAAACAGCTGCTTCCTTCCTTCCATTACTCAGAAAAGCAAAGCCCAGGAAGGCACCTTCACGTGCACTTCTCAGTGTAGAGTTCCACACTGAATTGTTAGCCACATCCACATCTGCCTCCTGATATGCCCTGCGCTCCTTGAGCCTGGGCCTGGGCTTCCTATGGTGCCAGCTGCTGCCGCCAAGTAAATACTGAGAAGGAACTAGTCCCGTGTCACTCTGGGTTGGTGGTAGGTTAATGGGTTCCTGGCCATGTGCTTTATTTGTAATACACTACCAAGGATTGGTTAAGATAATCCGGGGTTAAATAAAGTTGCCACCATAACAGTTGTTTCTGCTTAGAGTGCCAACACGTTAACCTATTCCTGGGGTAAGAGGAGACCCCAAATTTTGTTACCACAAAATAGGCTAGTCAAATAGAAATACTATCTGTAAAACTCACAGGGTGGTTGCCAAGCCCAAATGAAATAAAAGGGAAATATAAAAGGCAGAGTTCTGGTTAGAGCCAGAGACACTAGCAGCCATGTTGTTCTTAATCCTTTTGCAAAAACAAACCAACTAGGACAGCAAAAGAAACCCACAGACCCTAGAACACAGAGCAGGACCAAAGTCTTCAGAGACTACCTCTGAGAGCAGCAAGGCAAAGAAAATGGGAGTTCTTACGGTGCTATATGCCAGAGACCCTAAAAATTGCCATCAAATACTCGTCCATTCTGAGTAGAAAGGAAGCCAATGTGAGAGCAATTTGTAAAACTAGAAGATTCACAGGCTTCCATCTACAAGTGAGCTTAGAAACACTAAAGGGAGACCTTCCACTTCTGCATATAAATGATTAATAGTTATAAGAATTACCCGGCCAGGCACGATGGCTCACAACAGTAATCCCAGCATTTCGAAAGGCCAAAAAGGGTGGATAGTTTGAGCCCAGGAATTCAAGACTAGCCTGGCTAACACAGCAAAACCCCATCTCTACTAAAAAATACAAAAATTAGCCAGGTGCAGTGGTACACACCTGTAGTTCCAGCTACTCAGGAGGCTGAGTAGCAAGAATCACTTGATCCCAGGAGTTGCATGTGAGCCATAATTGCATCACTGCAATCCAGCCTGGTCAACAGAGTGAGACTGTCCCAAAAAAAAAAAAAAAAAAAAAAATCAATTCCCTACCCGAGTGCAGTAACCAGCACTTTGGGAGGTTAAAGACAAAGGATCTCTGGAGCCGAGGAGTCTGAGATCAGCCTGGGCAATATAGCAAGACTCTGTCTCTTTAATAATTAATAAGAATTTCTCTCACACTATAAACAACTAGGAAATCATGAAAAATACATGAAACAACTGCTTTCAGTCATAGGACAACAGGTAGCATTTGGGAACAGGGAAACAAGTTAGGTAAGTACCGCAAATGCCCCAGATTACTACCCAGAAGCAGTTTCTGGGCCAAAAGAGAGACTCCAGTGTCTAGTAGTCTCTGGGAGCTGAAGAGACAGAAGTCAGAGTTCAGGAAGACCAAGGCAGCCTGGGCACAGTGGCTCATACCTGTAATCCCAGCACTTTGGGAGGCCAGGGTGGGTGGATCACCTGAGGTCAGGAGTTCGAAACCAGCCTGGCCAACATGGTGAAACCCCCATCTGTACTTAAAATATTAAAATTAGCTGGGTGTGGTGGCTCATGCCTGTAGTCCCAGCTACTCAGGAGGCTGAGGCAGGAGAATTGCTTGAACCTGGGAGGTGGAGGTTGCAATGAGCTGAGATCATGCCACTGCCCTCCTGCCAGGGCAACAGAGCAAATCTTCGTCTCAAAAAAAAAATAAATAAAACAGACTGGTACAGCTAATAAACTGATGGTTAAGACAGAATGATACCATTAAAAACCCTCCAAAAGTGGTCATGACAAGACGAAAGAAAAGGAAGAACAGATGGGACAGTGGAAAAACTAGTGACTTACAAATAATCTGGAGATTAACAGTAATGTGCCAACACTGGTGTTTTAATTTTGATAAATGTACTGTGGTTATATAAGGTATTCACATTATTAGAAACAATTAGGATATTCAGAGAGAAAGACTGCATCTTCCATGTTTAAATTTTCTGCTGGAAGCAAGCATTTAATCAAAATTTACCTGGGATACTTGGTAATTTATAATCAAAATTACCTGGGATACCTGAAAAAGATTGAGGCCCCCACACCAGAGCTACTGGATCAGAATCCAAGGACAGAGTCTTACAAATGTGCATAAAACTTATGAAGCTTTCCTCATGAATCCAACACAGGTCTTCTGGAAGTTGAGATTAGATGGCCCTCCAGGCCACAGCCCACCCTGAGGTCCTATGGCTCTTAGCAGTCCATACACTAAAAGGCTGGACGATCAGCAACGCTAAGAGAACAGTTTCAGTACAGTGGTGGCAATGAAAGGCAAGTTCAAGTTTTGAGGGGCCAGGACACAGTAAAGAAGGGGACACAAGGAAAGGGAAAGGAAATGGAGACGTAACATGAGGGGAGGGTGAGATCGGTGCAAAACAAGCTTTTTCAGGATTAGGGACCAGGGTGTATTTTAAGGCAGAAAGCAGAAGCCATTGGAAGGTAACAAACTGAAGACACAAGAGAGGCAAAGTGTTAGAGCTGTGGCCCCAAGATGGCTGGAGGCTAGGGAAGCCCCAGTGGGAGACGCTAGGCTTGGCAAAGAGGAGGGATGAGAGAGCATGGCTGAGGTTAGGGAGGATTGCAGAGTGACGGCCACCTATCTAGAATCAGCCACATGTGGCTGCTGAGCATTTGAAACATGGCAAGTCCAAATTGATATACGCTATAAGAATACACACCAGATTTCAAAGACTACACATCTGTAATTCCAGCACTTTGGCTTTTGGAGGCCAAGGCAGGAGGATCACTTAAGCCAGGAGATCAAGACTAGCCTGGGCAACATGGCAAGACCCTGTCTCTACAAAAAATACAAAAATTAACTGAGTGTGATGGCATGTACCTGTAGTCCCAGCTACTTGGGAGGCTGAGGTGGAAGGATCATCTGAGTCCAGGGAGGTTGAGGCTGCAGTGAGCCATAATAGTGCCACTGTACTCCAGCATGGGTGACACAACAAAATCCTGTCTCAAAAAAAAAACCATGCATATTTAGACATATGCTGTTGCACACTTAACAGACTATAATATGGTATAAGCATAAGTTTTATATTCACTGGGAAAGCAACAAAATTCATGTGACTCACTTCATTATTGTCTGGAACCAAAGCTGCAATGCCTCCGAGGTATGCCTGTATATATCTATTAAAAAATGTGAATCTAGAAGTTACGGAAGCTACAACTAGGACAAAAAGAAATCCGACCAAATGGCCCTATCTCAAAGAATAAAATCTCTTTCTAGAATCTCAGAATCTGCCTCTTTCAGACTAAAGTTTAGCCAAATCCATGAAAAAAACTGCTTGCTAAAGCAATTAATTATCAGTACAAATAAAATTATAATGAAAAGTATATGAAGATAATTTGTCCTCAGACGCTCTTTACATATAGCAATTAATTCACAAATGAGTCACTCATGTGCCTTCATGAAGGCAGGCCCTCAAGAGACCTGCAAGGGGAAGGAAAACTACCGCCTGGAGGGAACCTGCTTCCTGAGCCCCACCAAGGTCCAAAAAGGAAATCGTGGCTTCATCCTCACCCTCAATGAGTTGCCAAACTGGGCTTGGTTATTATTCACATTTGGAAAGCACGAGGCTAGTCAGCCAGTCCCCTCCAGGTCGTTCATGCTTCTTCCAAGTTCCACGTGATTCAGATTTGCTGTGTCCTCTACCTGCATCCCTCCTCCATTCCATAACTGAGAGGACAGTGAGGTAGCTTCCGGGTGCCTCCGCCACCATGGTTCTTCCATCCATCAGCTCTTCCTTCCTCGACTCTGTGGTATGTGGCTAGTGGAGTTTCCAACTCCCAGGGGACATTTCAGTTTCCCAAAGATAACACAGCTCGAAGTGGGTGTTTACTCACTGGTAGTCTTATCTAAGATCAACACTAGCAGCTCTGCCTGGAGAGGCCTCTGGGATCCGGGTAAGCAGAGGCTTCATGTCTCAGGAGGTGCCTGGTCACCATAGTTAGGGTTTTTCTGTTTGGGGAGTTTTTTTTTTTCTTTTTTTTTTTTTTGATGGGGCAGTTGGTGGCTCTGAAAAAGCTGCTCAAGTCTTCTCTGAGGACTATAGACCCCTCCACCCTCTCCACCTTCAGCCTCTCTGGGCTCCAGGGCCAAAAAATGTCTACACTGAGGTGGCGGACAGGTCTGTGAAGGCCTCCTGGTGACATGCTCACATGTTGCTGCGACTAAAGACAGGATTTTGGCCACCACAGTGGGCCAGTGGGGAGATGTTTACCAACAGAAGGTACTTTGTCCATCACGTCCTACTTAAGGATTCAGTCCAACCTGGCCTGTGCTTCTGCTGTCCCAAGAGACTAGAAAGCCCCCATCTACCCTGAGGTTGATCTTTTAGGTCAGAGTAGGTGGTCATTTGGCAATCAGCTGCTCTACTGCCTCACTGGACATCCTCCTGCCCCAATTCTATCCTGTTCAGTGCAGACTGATTTTCCTGGAACACCATGTTCATTACGAAGCCAGATGGCATATCAGAAAGAGCACTTACTAGGACCAAGAGACTCAGGTGGGAGCCCCAGCACTGCCCCCGATAGCTGTATGGCTTTGGGGAAAGTGTGACCCTTTGGTGTTCAGTTTTTATTACAGTGAAATAAAGGATTCAGCCTCCCAGGGCTTGAAAGACTTTCCAGCTCTTTCATTCTATGGTCTGTCTCTCGTCTCTCTTCTGCTCAAGGATCTTCAGTGGCTTCCCTCCTGCAAATAAAGCCCAAACTTCTTGGACTAGCAGCTCCCAAGGCACCTTCTAACATTTTTGTTAGGAGACCTCATCACCACCCTCCTCCAAGCCATCCAGCTTTCTCCTTGCTGCCCTGACATACTCTATCCATGCCTTCACCTCCCCTCTGCTTGCCAAGAAGCCCTTCCTTCAAAGCCTGCCCCAAGTTCACCACAAGCCTCTTTCCTGGAGCCTTTGCTAACATCACTGCCACAAGCCCCAGCCTCAGGTTAGCTCCTCTCCTGAACTGCTAGAATTTCTCTGCAGACAACTCACTGGCCCGTAGCGGTTCCCGCCTGGGCACCCAGCTGGATAAAGCACTCCAGTAAGGAAGGAATTCCTGGGGCCAAGGGGAATGAGGCAGTGGCCTTGACCTATGCTGTCAAGTTTTGTGGGCCTGGTATGAAACCATTGTCATCTGCAGGCCATTTTACAGGTTAGAAGCCACTTTCTCCCATCGCCTCAGTTCACCCTCAAAGACTCTGGGTAAGGGGAATCATTTGTGGTCTGCTTAAGGCCAGTCAATGAGGGAGGAGCTGTGCCCATGCTAAGCGCAGATCTTCCACCTCCAGGTCCAATGTGTTTCCCTCTCAGAACAGGCTAAACTAGAGACCAAAACTGCTGGGGGAAGGCAAGTCAAGCTGCCATGTGAAAAAACACCAAGTCAAGCAGTCATCTCACAACACCTGGCAGAAATTACTGAAGCAAAGCCACTGGCTGAGGTTATCCCCACACCAGCTTGCTCCAGAGGACAGTCAGAAGCATTCTGCTCACCCGGGAGTTGGGACTCTCCTCCTTGGGAAGGTGGAAGATCACCAGCCCGGCTCCCCACGGGCTCCCAGGGCTCACAGAGGCCAGAGCTGCATCAGCACACGGGAAACAACAGGGAGCTGGACTGGGGAGGTTTTGGAGCTCTCCTAGTGACAACAGCCTCATTTTACCCAGGGAGAAAGGGCGAGTATGCTAAGGTCACACAGCAACAAAGCTGCACCCAGACCCCAGAGCCCCTCTCCTCCCTCCCTCCTCCACCAGGGCCATGCCCACTTGGGGCACCCCACCACCCTGTGTTCCAGGGACAGCTGGAGCACATGCTTCACCTCTCACCAACCCAGCAATCCCGCAGGGCATCTGACCTCCACTGTTGACTTCTACCCAGAGGACACAAACATTTTTAGTTCCCAAGGAATGTACATCAGCCCCACAGAAGCTAGGCCACCTCTGAGATGGGGTTGCTGGTTTAAAACAAACACCAGCCTTCCTATATAAGGACCCGACAGCCACCAGGCACCACCTCCACCAGGAATCGCAGGTAGGTTCTCTCTCTATTCTGTGTGTGTGTTTGCGGATGGGTTTATTATCCGTGACTGCTGCCCAATCATGTAACTTCTCTGGGCCTCAGGAGCTCCCTCTAAACACAGGGGATGTTGGATAATCTGAGTCTGGCTGGCTGCTCAGAGACAAAGCTTGGCTTAAGAACTGCCTCCAACCCCCGCCCATGTCCCCTGGGGCCCTTGCTGGTTCAGCTCCCTCACTCCTCATAAAGACTTGCAACAAGCTCCTTAGACCCTGGGATAAAAGGCGCTGGGGAGGAGTGCCTTTCAGCCCCTATCAAGTCCTGCTGCCAGGCGTTCTGCTCTGAACAGCCTTGGAGAAGAGAACACACATCCTTCCATTCTCTTCTACCTTGGGAGGTGGAGAGGGGTCCTCTCTACACAGCAGTCAGGAGCTCAGATGGTAAAGCCCCTCACCCCATCTGTCGGGCTTCTACCTGAGCAAGCTCAGAGGCACATGAGAAGGGGAGGCAGCTGGCTGGAGACCCTCTCTCCCCCAGGCCCACCTGTCTGCAACCCAGCTGAGGCCATGCCCTCCCCAAAGACAATCTGCGGCCTCCTGCTCCTGAGCGTGCTCTCGCTGGACTTGGCCATGGCAGGCTCCAGCTTCCTGAGCCCTGAACACCAGAGAATCCAGGTAAGACCTCCCCACAAAGCCCCACTCGCTGACTAGCTATCTTGTTCCAGCCCTACCACTTAACAACCAGCTCTGTGACCCAGGGCACAATCTCTGGGCTTCAGCCTTTTCCCAGAGCACAGAGGACTCTGGGTCTGACCACGCTGTTTCTGGAAGGACATGAGAGCTTAGGGTCCTAAAGAGACCATTTCCCCCTTGCAGCAGAGAAAGGAGTCCAAGAAGCCACCAGCCAAGCTGCAGACCCGAGCTCTGGAAAGCTGGCTCCGCCCAGAAGATGGAGACCAGGCAGAAGGGGTAGAGGATGAACTGGAAATCCAGGTTGGTACCTCTGTAGTTTTATGATTCTTTGGCAGTAAGGGGGCTGGGGTCAGGGGAAAGGGAGGGCAGGGAGAGGTGGCAGTGAACAGGGTCCATCTACAAGCTCACCAGGACTATAAAATGGCACCAAAGGAGCTGAGCTCTGCCCTGGGTTCTATGAGGTCTTTGTCTATTAAGAGAAAAAGACCTGGGAGAAGTAACTTTGCTACAGCAGAATAGGGAAGGAAGAAGGCTGGGCAGAGAAGAGAGGGTGCCAGAGCCTCCAGGTGACTCAAACAGGACAGAAAATACAGTGCACAGAGACAGAGACATGTACAAATAAACAGCAGGCCCAGATTGAAGATGTTTCTCTGCACAAAACCATGTTTTACTCAGGGGCTTCTAGGGCCTGAACTGGGGGCTGGAAAGCTTCAAAACAGCACCCGGGGTGGGAGAGCTGTCAGCAGCCTGGGCTCCGGCACTCACTCACCTCACCTGGAGGAAAGGAGGGGGCAGATCTGGCCGAGTTTTGTTCTGACAAATCGTGTGTGGGGCAAGGAGAAAGTTCAGAGACAACCCAAGAGCAGAGAGGAGAGAATAAAGGGATTTTATGGGGTTGTCCATGCAACCTGCCTGTGGCTGTGGTTCAGGGAATAGTTTCTTCTAAGCGTTTGCTTGGCGACACCATTTTGCAGCTAAAGCAGGATTCCCCCAGGGTAGCACTTAATAATGGCAGTTATTAGAACTGAGCCCAAGTATACCAACTTTATCTCTAACTGCCTCACTCCTGCTATGCTCCATCTGCTCCCTACGACCTGTGAGGTAAGCAGGGCTGGCATCATTCCTACTTCAGAGCTGAGGACAGTTCAGAGGTGAACTCACTTGCCCAAGGTACCACAGCAGCGCGTGGTAGAGACATAACACAAGGTCAGGGCTGACTCCAGTCCCCAAGCCCTCTTCCCCCTCACTGGTCTGGTGAACAGAGACAGTGCACAGTGGCCCAAGGGAGGCCTCTTCCTTCAGGAGGAGTGAAACGTGCCCACCTTGGCCTCCGCCTGCCTGTTCACCAGACTGTTCTCCAATTGAGGAAGAAAGCCATCCAGAACCCCGAGCCCCTACTCACTCTTGTTCTCACCAGGACCCAGCGGTGTTCAGACCCTTCCTCCACACTATGGGACCCATTAGATTCCCATTTTAAAGAGCTGCATATCCTAATGCTAAAACCAGGACATTATGCTGCTAAAAGAGGCCAGCTCCACACATGGTCATCCCTGCCAGAGGAGCTGCACATTAGTCCAGATGAGGAAGAGGTCCTGGTGGCTGATGACGCAAAGTGGGGCTGGTACAGCAGGAAGTCTGCACTTTCAGTGAAAGCCAACCTCAGAGCATGTGACCCACACTGCCTAGGCTAGAACCAGAAGTCAAATGCCTGGGAGGTGTTGGAGCTGCCAGTAGAGGGGCAGCCACAGAGCCCTGGAGCACTCCACTACCAAAACCCCTTGTATCCCAGGGTCCCACCCACCTCTCTCATCTCAGGCCCCTCTACCTCCCTGCAAACATTTTCCTCCCAAAATCAAGTTTCAAAGTGGAAGACTCTGGAGACCAAGCCCCACTCCCATTGAACAGATGAGCCACTGAGGCCAAGAAGGAAGCCGGACCCCACCAGCCAGCACTAACGCCAGCTCTCGCTTGCCTGCACCACAGCGCCAGGTGTTAGGCCATCAGTTTCCCAGACCAGTGCTCGCGTTTCCTAAGATGTCGGCCAGGTGATCAGCCACCCTGCATTCAACTCAGACGTGGAAGAAAAATGAGTATTTACTGGAAGGAATGGAAGGCCCCAACATTCCTTTTAAAAAAAAAGGCGGGGGCCGAGCACAGTGGCTCACACCTGTAATCCCAGCACTTTGGGAGGCAGAGGTGGGTGGATAGCTTGAGGTCAGAAGTTCAAGACCAGCCTGGCCAACATGGTAAAATCCTGTCTCTACTACAAATACAAAAATCAGTGGGGCATGGTGGTACATGCCTGTAATCCCAGCTACTTAGGAGGCTGAGGCAGGAGAACCACTTGAACCTGGGAGGTAGAGGTTGTAGTGAGCCGAGATCATGCCACTGCATTCCAGCCTGGGCAACAAAGCAAGACTTTGTCTCAAAACATAAAAAATAAAAATCAGTCATGTCATTCCCCACTGGGTCCACCTTCAGGTGGAGTTAAGGGGAGGGAATAGATTCTGAAATGGAAACACGTAGCTATTGGTTATTTAATAGCTTCTCTGTGCCTGTGTCCTCACCTGTAAAACGGGCACAGTGGTAGCTCCTGCCCCACAGGGAGGCACTGAGAACACCCAGCCTGACGCAGAGGAAGGGCAATGGGACTAAAGCGGTTTTCAGGGCTGGGTGGGTTTAAAAGTCCTGCATTCTAGTCCTTGGCCTCCAACTCCTCGCCTTCTACTGTGAGGGCCAAATGACCCAGCACTAAGATCCTTCACTGACTCAGACATCAGTGCCCAACATGGCCAGGCACCAAGGTAGCCACTGGCAAACAGACAATCTCTGCTCTCAAGGAAAGTCTACCATGTATCTGCAGCAGAGCTCCTTCCCACTTACCCAAAGCTTTGAACTCCAATAAATCATCTCAGGAATGCCTGGAAAACTGGAGATGGGGCACTCTCTGTAGAGGGGAAGAAATAGAGGCGCAGAAAGGAGGACTTGGCTCAGAGCCTCTTTCTAGGAAAACATCAGCTTCCTTTTGATTTTCCAGGCATCGAGGAAAGGGCTATGCATATAAGAGGAAAAAATACCTAAGGAAGGAGAAAAGGGAGAAGGAAAAAACAAGAGAGAACAGAGAAAGAAGTGGGGGCAGGGAAGGGATAGCCAGCAGGCCAGTGATGTGAATGCCAGGCAGACCCCTGCCCCTCAGAGACACCCCTGCCAGGGCTTGAAATGCTGCCACTGGTGACTCAACCTGCTGTCTTAAAAACTGCAAGTGAGTAAAAAACTCATACTAGGGGACACCATAACTTTTACCAGCAATCCCTTAGAGGCTAAGGCTGGCAGACATGGTGAGACTGCAAGGTAAGTGTCTGACAGATGGTGAGTGGGAAGATGAGCTGTGGCCCTGAGAAAGGCAGAGAACCTGGCTGAGGTGTCACTCAGCAATCCCTGCTGGGGCCCAATGGGCATTCTCCCTCCCAACTTCTGAGGAGACAGCAGAGAGCCCTGAGCCTGCTGTGGGATGCGGATGGGCATGACCTCTGACATCTCCTGGGTCCTTCTTGCCCTTCCTCCTAGTTCAACGCGCCCTTTGATGTTGGAATCAAGCTGTCAGGGGTTCAGTACCAGCAGCACAGCCAGGCCTTGGGGAAGTTTCTTCAGGACATCCTCTGGAAAGAGGCCAAAGGTGAGTCCTTCCTGGGCTGGGGTTTGCTCAGTTTCCTTGCAGCCCCACATGGCAGTTCAATCTGTTGGTGATGAGAATTTTCCCCAACCTCTGCCTCTCAAAAATAACTTCTAATTTATCTTTCTCAAAGACCCGCAGGAGAGTGGCTGGGCTAGTATTTGTGAGTGACTCAGAAGGGAGTTCATCATAGTCTTTGCGTTCAAAGAATGTTCTAAGAACTAATACATTAACTAGCTTTGGGGTCTCAGTTGAATCTCAGCTTCCTTAACTGTAAAGTGGAGCTATTTTACCTATTGTGAGAGTCTACAATTACTTGGTGTTATACCATTTACCATTGCATAACTTTACTTCACTAACAAAAGGAATTAGTGCCAAAATAGCACTTGGAATAGGCTCTACAGGCTGTTAAGCAGTTCCTTCCTGAGTTAAACAAAGGGTTTGCTTTGAATCCCCTCATCTTTAAAAAGGAAAAAAAAAAAAAGCCCAACCTATTGAGATGGTAGAAATGCTTGCACATCTGCAAAGCACCATCCTCACCAAGGCAGTGACCCCTCACACCTGGGGAACAGCAGGGGTAGCATTCACCCCACTGTGTGGACAAGGAAACCAAGACTCAGAGCTTTGAGGTGATTTGTCCAGGACACAACAGTCCACACTTGACTGCTGCCCCCAACTTCAAGGCCAGTGCTTCCCCACAACTGCCCCCATCACAACATCCCACCTCCAATGTCACCACCGTGGAAGGAAAGCCCTCTGTGATGGCACTGGCAGGACGTGCACCCAGAATCCTGACTCAACCTCTTGTTTTCCAGAGGCCCCAACTGACAAGTGATCACCCACAAGCCGCACTCACCTCTCTCTTCCTCCCAAACTTAGAAGCATTCATCTGGCTTTTCGCTCACTTCGGCACCAACTCCCACAACTGTTGTATGAGCTCAGGAGGTGAATAAATGTTCAGACTGCATGCTGATGTTCCAAATGGGAATTTATTCAAAGAGGAAAAGTTAACATTTCACTTAAAAAAAAAATCCAAATTAAAATTTAAAAAATTCTTGGTCAATGGTTGGTGGGAAAGGAATAAAAGGACAAGAAGCAAGGCTAGTGTGCGTGCTTAGAAAACCCAATTACAAGAACTCACTCAAGTAGAGAAAATACTGCATGCACGCATTGTTTGGAATTAATACTGGGTTTTTGTTTTTGTTTGTTTATGTGACAGAGTCTTGCTCTGTCTCCCAGGCTGGAGTGCAGTGGTGTGATCTTGGCTCACTGCAACCTCCACCTCCCAGATTGAAGCAATTCTCCTGCCTCAGCCTCCTGAGCAGCTGAGACTAAAGGCGTGCACCACGACACCCAGCTAATTTTTTTTTTTTTTAGTAAAGACAGGGTTTTGCCATATTGGCCAGGGTGGTCTCGAACTCCTGACCTCCTGATCCACCCACCTTGGCATTGGCCAGGGTGGTCTCAAACTCCTGACCTCCTGATCCACCCACCTTGGCCTCCCAAAGTGCTGGGATTACAGGAGTGAGCCACTGTGCCCAGCTAAGACTGGGTTTCTTAGAAGAGGAGGAGGAGAAAAGAGAGCAGGAGGAAAAGGGAAAGAGGAGGAGGGAGAGAAAAGGAGGAGAGCAGGGAAGAAAAGGAAGGAAGGGGAAGAGAAGGAGGGAAGGGGAAGAGAAGGAGGGAGGGGGAAGAGAAGGGGGAGGGGGAAAAAGAGGAGGGAAAGGGGAAGAGAAGAGGAGGAGGGAGAGGAGAGAGAAGGGGGGACTAAGGGAAAGAAGGAAGAGAGGAAGAACAAAGACACGGTTCCTTTAAACATCAGGGCTTCCTGAGTGCAAGGCTGCATTGACAGCTTATTAACAACCAGCCAGGGCTGTGTGGACAAAGAAACTTCAGGATGACATTATCGGAGCCAAATTCATTCAAGGTCGGAGAGGAAAAGAGGAAGGCCAAAGAGTGAATTTGAAGTTAGACATAAGTGAGGTGCCCGACCATGGCTCTTGGGCACTGCTAGACAACGCTGAAATAGCTGTATTCTCCTTCCTCCCCCTCCACTACTGAGAAGGCCTGGCAAAGCAGATGCTTCATGTGGGCAAGGCTGGCTATTGTCATGGTTCCTTCACTGATACCAGGGGGGATCCCCAAACAGTCCCTAAACTCCAACCTACAGCAGAGATGAGCCTTGACTCTTATGTTCCACAACTTAATTACAGTTACCACACCAGTCTTCCCAGGGGAAGGCCACTCCTAAAAGTGTGGACTGACTTGACTGCAGGCGATGGATGGGACACATCGCTAAGGGGAGGGAAAGGCAAAGAACAAGGTGGCCCCAAAGAGCAGCACTGCCCACTTGCCAAGTCAGCCATCTGAGCGTTTGTGGGGAACATGAAGGAACCTTTCTGCAGACAGTTGGGGTAATGTCTGCACTCTGGAAAACGCCTACCACAGAGGGTGCTAGGAGCCAAGTGGCTCCCCAAGTAAAATTCTGGCCACCCTGCACTCAGGCACTAACCACTGATCAGGTGCTGCAGTCACAGAAAAACCCAACTGCTCTCCCTCACAGAAGAGCCATAGTCTGTGAACACCACCTTTATCACGGAACTTCTTAGAAATGCAGAATCTTGGACTGCACCCCAGCCCTAATCTATCAGGATCTGCATTTTTACAAGATCCCCAGGCTACTTAGTAAATGACTGATAGGAAATGGCTTAGAAGCTCTTTCTCAGGTGTCACAGCAGACTGCAGGCCCCCCACTTACCCCCTACCCCCAGAGAGCCATGCCCCTACCTCCCCAGGTACCTGGCACAAGTGGATAGAGATCAACACACTTGTCCAGCTCCGTCACTTAGTTGTGATATAACCTCGATTATCACTAACTACCCACACCCCTCTTCTCAATAGTTAGAGAAGAGGAGCAAAGGCCCACTATGGCCAAAGTGGTCAGGAGCTGGTTTCTTTTTGAGAAAGCACCCACCATTGCTTGGGCTTGGAGGAAGACGGGTACTGGGCGCTGGACAAATGCTGGTCACCTGATGCTTCCCCCACCAAAGACAAGAACTTATTTCTCTCTCAAAGGACTCACAAGCATTATTACCCACTTGCCTGGGTCATCCGAAGAGAAACAGATATGCATACCCACTGTGAACTAGGCATTCTCACCTGTGCCAGGCAACAAGGCGTAGTGCTAAGATGTGGACTTTGGTCTCAGACCTGAATTTGGATACCAGATGTATGATGCAGAATTTCTCAGGCTGCTCACATGTACAATGCCTACCTCGCTGGGTTACTGCCAAGACTGAACATGAGATCTCACATGAGCCATGCCTGGCACAAAGCCCAGCATGTAGCTAAGCATTCAATTACGACAGCAGCCAGCACTTACTGCCATACCCGTGCTGTGTACCGGGCACCACGTTAAATGCTCATGCAGATTAACATAATTTCACTTCATTTTCACAGCAAGCCTACTTATGAGGGAGAAAACTAAAGCTCAGAGAAATTAAGTAACTTTCCCAAAGTCACACAGCAAGCACATGACCGACTCAAGGCCAGCACCAGAGGGTTCAAGTGCAGCTTTTTCATCCTGCTCCACGGCCTCTCAGCCAGTGCAGCCTCCCTTGCTCTATGGCCTAGGATGAGAGAGGTTTCCATTTTCATTCAGAATACATTGGGTGAACTGGTAGCGGGGTGGGGACAATTTCAAGTCAACAATGGGCAAAAATATAATTTTCAAAGAAAATGGTTAGGGGACAGCCTTGGGAAAATATATTATTTCAAACATGTTCCTCCTGTGTCAGCTTTCTTAAACTCACTCCTTCAAGAATCATTTAATGATACCACAAACTTAAGTGTCTCTGAAGTGAGGTGTATGCACCCCTAGGGTAAGCAAGTTATTTGCTAGAGAAAAAAAATTCTCCTTGTGAAAAAACTTTTGTGTATAATTAGCATAAGCACATCTATTTAAATTCTTATGCACTTATAGGTGTGTATTCAGAAATTCTCTTAAGACAGTGCACAGAGAAGAGGTGACAGCTCCACTAAACTACCCACCTTAATCTGAATCCACTTTCAAACGTCACTGGCATTAAGAGGCTGAGGTTGGTAATCACCTAAGGTCAGGAGTTTGAGGCCAGCCTGGCCAACATGGTAAAACCCCATCTCTGCTTAAAAAAAAAAAAAAATTAGCCAGGTGTGCTGGTGGCACCTGTAGTCCCAGCTACTCAGGAGGTTGAGGCATGAGAAACACTTGAACCCAGGAGGCGGAGGTTGCAGTAAGCCAGGATCGGGCCACTGCATTCCAGCCTGGACGACAAAGCAAGACTCAGTCTCAAAAGAAGCCCCAAAACAAAAAAAGCTGTCACTGGCAAATGAGCATTTATTAATACAGTGGTCCAGAGAGAGACTTGTTGGCCACTAATCACCACCTTTGACAGAGTTTGCTTCTTCAATCTGTACATTCCGGTGGCCATTTGCCCTTATTTTACAAAACTGAATGAAGCAAAATAAAGGTGCTGAAAGCAAATGAGTCAGTCCCAAACTTCCTACGGAAAGATGGAAACACCAGAAAAGCCAAGAATAGTCAGTAACAAGGACCATCACTGAGTAGACAAAGTCAACTGCATATTCAACTGTGAAGGAACTGAGACAAAGTTTAGGATTAGGCCAAAAATACATAATTAATTATTGCATCTAAAAGACAAGGTGGCAACAGAAACTTCAAAGGTGTTTAACATTCTTGGAAGGAAAAGCACCTTCCTTTCTATGCCTAGGTTTACTTTTTGGCCAGTGCACTTGTATTCAAGAATACCTTAGTACAAAATAGGAGGCTGAGTGCAAGTAATGAAACAGAATTTCCTTCAGAGTTTACCCAGAGGCATCAGTTCACAGTCCAACACCCACCATCCAGCTGATTCATCAACACCCCCAGTGACTAGATTTTTCTTCTTCCTACAGCCTTGCACTGGAAACAAAAAAAGAAGAAAGTCTCTACATAGATTAAAAAG